CATGCAATTTACATCGCTTCATTATAGGCTGCTCGATCGTGAATCGCTCTTGCCTGGAGAATCGCTTGCTAAAGGCGGGCGGGTAAACTTCGGGTTCCGGTTGGTCCTGTTACTGTGCAAGACATCCCGTCTGCTCCCCCATAGACAAGCTGTTAATCGGCAGATTAGTAGTTGGGTCGGTGACGACCAGCGAACACCGGCTGTTGTATGTTTTTATCTTCTTTTTGTATTTTTTTTGCAAGTTGGATACCTCGATGGCTTCTCCTTCCCACCTCCTTGCAGTGTGGCTGGAGGATGTCGACTTTCTGGCCAGCCTGATATTGAGCAGGGGTCTAGCCGATGGTAGTCAACGTCAGCCAGGTCACTGGACTTAACGGTCCTGGTTTAGCCGCAAATTTGCGAGACACGAGTTACCATATACTCGGATCCTGCAACTCAATTCCAAGCTGTAATTCCCATGTGCCAACTTCAAAGTCAGTCGCTGGGGTAGTTTGCGTTGTTCAAGCAAGGTTAGACTAGTATCATCTCAGCCTTCCCTCTCCGCGATTGGATCTTGACGGCGCTTGGTGACACACGGGTGAGCGGGCCGTGCGTAGTTGAACGAGAACTGGTGCCCCCTAGCAAGCAATCGCAACGCTGACCTTGGTCTCCAGCCCTAAAACTTACCAAGAACTTGTCAAACGCGGCGCTGTGCGCAACAAACGACGTCGGATGGACGGTACCGGGTAGCTCTCTGGCTAACCCGCAGCTACTCGGGCAACCAGCCGCCGAACAACAAGAAGCAGCCTGCGACACCAGCAGCCGACGTCGAGCCTGTACCTATTCTTCTCTGGCGCCCAGTCGAGCCATTCTGAAATACTAATCTTGTTGCCGTAGACTTTTTTTTTTTCGGGCCGGTACTTGGCGCGGCCTGGTTCAGGTTGCGGAAGGATGCGATGCGGCGCGGCGAGCCCGGACGCGGTGAATGCGATGACCGAGTTCTTCGAGAGACATCCGGGGTGATCGGTGGGAGGAGGCACGGATAGTTGGGCATTATACATGCAGATGGGACCAAAATTAACAATGTAGATAGAGAAGGTACAAAAAGCATTGAAAGCGTTCCGATCCTTTAGGCACTACAACGTTGTCCACATGATCTCGCTCCTCCACACCTTCGCATTCACATACAGATGTACGCTGCCCGATTCACAGACACTCAGTTACCTCCCTCACGCAACGTCTCCCGCACCTCCCCAATCACCACCGCCCTCAATTTCTCCGCATCCAAGAACCGTGCCTCGTCCTCCTTGAGTTCCGCCGCCACCTTGTCCGACTGGTATTCCGCAAAGAACGCCTGGAACGCCTCCCCGTTCTCAAACGTGAGTTCCGAAATGACATCGCATTGGAAATCCGCCTGGCTGCCCAGGAGCACCGTCGCCGGGTACACGCCGTCAGAGTCGACGGCGTCGCCCCGGTGGATGTAGCGCCGGGCGTGGGAGGTGGGAAACGTGGCGGAGAGTAGGCGCCGCAGGAGGGGGATGTGCGTGCTCTCCAGGTAGTCGCGGAATTCCGTCGGGGAGAGGCCCGGCTTGCGGTGGGCAAAGAGTAGTACTTTAAAGACCATGAGGAATAGTTGTCGTTGACAAGAAAGAACAGACTCTGCTGATGTTTCTTACCGCGTGGCTGTCGGTTGACCGACCAGAAGTGATCAACACGCACTTGCGGCTTTTGATACGTCACAGCTTACAAACGAGCACGCTAATCGGCTGTTTCGGGGCAGAGTTGGGCTGTCTTTGTGCTAGACTTCAAAATCGGCGCCTTCCAGATAGAGTTCGGGCCGGCGACAGCGGCACCAGCTGCAGGGCCGTACGCAGTAGAGAAGTCCCCTCTTGCGGCCCGCCAAGGCGGACTGTTTCACAGTATCAAGGTGAATACATATTGAGATTTGAGCAAGTGACGAATAATTCCATCATTGGTAGCCCGCAGGGGTGGACAACGCCCATTTGTCATTACCATTATTGTAACCAATTCTATATTCCAAGTAGAGATGTCAAGTTGTACATTTTCCGCTTTCCCCATATCATTATTAAACCTCTTCCGTTCCGGCCTCGGGCTTCTTCTTTGCCCGAATATCCTTCCAGCCCAGCCCAAACGCCAGGAAGAAGCAGATGCCCGAACACCCGATCGCAATGTAGTAGTTGCGTCGGATGCTCTCGTTGTACGCGATCAGCACGTTTTGCAGGTCCGTCGGGTCCTGGACCGTCTTCCAGACGCCGGTCGCGCCGGCCTGGATGATCTCCTGGGCGGGGATGTCGGGCGCGTACCGGGGGATCGTCGTGCGCAGGCTGGTGGTGAAGACGGTCTGGGCGATGCTCAGGAAGACGGCGCCGCCGAGGGTCTGGGTGAAGGTCAGGATGGAGATGGAGACGGAGATGAGTCTTCGGGAGACGGAGTTTTGGATGGCGATGAAGGGCATCTGCATGCCGAGGCCGCGGCCGAAGCCGACGATGACCTGGTACCCGATCCAGCTACCGATGCTGCTGTGCGGTCCGAGCAGCGTGAGGGTGCCGTGGCCGATCGAGGTGATGACGGCAGAGGCCACGGCGAATGGTAGATAGTAGCCCACTCGGGTGACTGGAGAGGCGAAGATTGGTCAGTAAGACAAGCAACATGATGGGGTCCTGGGGTAAGACAGGGTACGAACTGGCGATGCCAGAGCCCACGGTGCTGATGAGCTGGCTGAGGATGCTCGGCAGCAGATCGACGCCGCTCATCATGGGCGAGGCGTTCTTGACCGCCTGGAAGTAGATGGGCAGGTAGTACACCACGACCTGCATCATGGAGAAGAAGAAGAACATGAACGCGCAGCTCGCCCAGACGGTGCGGATCTTCAGCATGCCGAGCGGGATCATGGCCTCCTCGCCCATGCGCCACTCCCACGCCAAGAAGACGAGAAAATTCGCGCCGGCGCCGCAGAACAGCCCAATCACGGTCGCGCTGTTCCAGGCGTAGTCGTTGCCGCCCCATTCGAGGGCGAGCAGCAGCATGATGATGGAGGGCGCGAAGAGCACGAAGCCGAGGAGGTCGAGCTTGGTTTGGACGGTGCGGAGGACGGTGTCGGTGCGCGGCTTGACCTGCGTCGGGATGGAGATGACGAGGAGCAGGGCGGCGACGAGCGCGCCGATGGGCAGGTTGATGTAGAAACACCAGCGCCAGGTGGTGTACTCGGTGAACGCGCCGCCGAGGAGGGGGCCGACGACGACGCCCATCTGCGCGACTACATGTCTTCGTTAGTTTTTGGGCTGAGTGGGGAGGAGGAGGAGGAGGGGGAGGAGGTTGCGTACTGGCCATCATGGCGCCCATGTACATGGGCCGCTTTGGTAGGGGCACGGCGATGGAGATGATGGTCAGCGCGCCGTTCATGAGGCCCGCGCCGCCGAGCCCGGCGACGGCGCGGCTGACGATGAGCATCTTGGAGGACTGCGCGACGCCGCACAGCAGCGAGCCGAGCTCGAAGATGCCGAAGAAGGTGAGGAAGACGATCTTGGAGTTGAAGTAGGTGTAGATCTTGCCGGCGAGCGGCTGCAGCGCGCAGTTGGCGAGCAGGTAGGCGCTGCCGTACCAGCCGACGTCGGTGAGGGAGTGGAAGTCGCTGGTGATTCGGGGGGTGGCCTGTAGAGGAGCGTTGGTTTTCGGGCAAAGTCTGTGATGAAGGGTAGGGCGGGTATACTGACTGTGGCGACGATGGAGATGTCGAGGAGCATGAGGAAGGCGACCAGGGACAAGGCCACGAAGACGAGCTGGAGCTTGATGCCGGTGACGTAGTTTTCGCTGCCGCTCTTGGTTTGCGTCAAGGCTAGTTGGGCATCGGCTTCGGGGGCTGCATCAGTTGCATCGGCTGCAGGGCCTGCATCGTGCTGTGAGACTTTCTCGTCGAGCTCGCTCACCGAAGGCGGCGGGAGCGAGCCCGGTGCGTGTTGTCGTTGTGATTCCGTCGCCATGATGTATCGACCATACGCAAATATCTAGCGTATCGTCGTAGTGTAGTTTCGTGAAAGCGTAAGCACAGCAGTAGCGAGATTATTTACTGAGGGTGGGCGGGCGAAGTGTATTGTTATATATTGGGGTAGGCATGGTCACCGGGCTTGTCGAGTCTCCGACTGTGGGACAGGGCTCGCCGCCAAGGGTGCTGGCGGAGATAGAACGGTCTATGTCCGCTCCGTCATTGTGGTGCGAAAAAAGAATGAAGGGGAAGGGAAGGAAGGATGGTAAAGCCAATCATGCAACGCATACCAGGCAAACGGGCTGCCTAGACAGAAGAGTAAAAAAGTAAAAAGGTTCCCCACCACGGGGACCGGTGGTCGTTTATGGCCGATGGCCGCGGACGGTAGTCTATTGGTAGTTTTACTGAGTACACAGGGCTACCTAGCTAATTGCACCGTCCGGCAGCGATGAATGTACCATCGTCTTGAATCTGCCAAGAGATGACAGCTCTGATCCGCGTCCTTGGCGGACCCGGCTTTCACTCAAGCAAGACCCGAGCTCTTGTCAGCGCTCGGGTTGTACCCTTGACTTCGGGTATAACTTAAGTATGCTTGTAGTCCCCTCGTCACTCAGTAATTCGGATGCTGTCAGTGCTTGTTCGCTTGCTTCGCGGTGACAAAGCCAGTGCCACATGGGTGGTGGTGTCCAACTTTGTTCTAGCGTCGGGACCGAAATACAATGTCGGTCCCGAGCCTACCACGGGGCATCAGACGAAGCCGCGGATTTTAGAATGGAGAACAGGCAGAAAACGTTAGTTAGACCTTATTGGTCCGCTATTTTGTCACTGCTGCTCCAACTTGCCCCCATCTGGATTGCCATGCCTCATTCACAACCTCGACTGTTTTCCATTTTTGCATCCTCTTCACCTTATATGCCTTTTTGCCTGGCGGACTGCTCTCACATATAAGCACACAAGTTCTCACGAGCTCATTAAAACAAGTAGAGTATAGTAAACGTGAATTTGTCCTCAGACAGCTAACCTAAAAAACCCAATGCTTCTAGCATCTGAATATGAAGTGTCGTGTATATACAAAGGCACCGGCAAGAGAACAACCAGTTACTCGCTCGGGCACCATAAAAGAAAAAGAAAACAATCCAAACGCCAGTTTTCAGAACCAAAAAATGACAAATTGGCGGCTCGTCCAACGATGAATCAAATCTGGCTAAGCTGGGGGCCCATTCAAGGCCCAAAGCAAGTATGCAATTCAACACATGATAAGGAAACTCGTGTCAAAGGAGTCGCTTAGTGGTCGTATCCAGCTCCGCGCTGCCAGGGACTGTAGCTTGTTAGCACGTATACATTAGAGTGAAGTGGTAGAGTAGTATTACCTGGATGAGTTTTGCTGTCTATAATTGCCCTGACCAGGCGGTGGAGGACGCTGCTGTGGAGGCGGCCCGCGACTTTGCATTTGCGGAGACGGTCCGCGGCTCATCTGCGGCGACGGGGCTCGGCCGTGCTGGGGAGAAGGCCCACGATTGGGAATCGGGCCCCTTTGCGGCGCCGGCGCGAGGGACTGGTTGCCGAACGGGTTGGCCTGGCCTGGGCCGGGCGACTGTGAGCGGTACGGGCTCTCGGATCGGGCACCAGGGAACAGAGGCATCGAAGGGTTGACGGGCGATCTGGGACCCTGGCCGCCCTGGTGGAACGAGGCCTGAGACTGGTTGCCAGAGGAAAAGGGATCCTTGCGGCCAGCGTCGAGAAGAGAATCGTGGTCATCATCAAGATCGAGCGGGGCCTTGTAGCCCCCCATCTTGTCACCGCGAGCGGTGACGCCGAGAGCATCGAGTTCGGTAGTGGCGTTAAGCTGGGTCTGAGATTTCATAAAGGACGCCCGGTCGTCGGCCATGTACTGATAGCGAGCATCGGGGTTTTTGCGGAAGAAGCTGACGGTAGTGGATGCAATAACCATGATGAGCAAGATGAGAGAGAAAGCAGCGTTAAGAACGAAGAGAACCACACCGACGACACCGACCATCAACGGAGGGGCGCCAAAAACGTTGGAGAAGATGAGTAGGAAGATGGCGTTGAGGAAGTTGATAACACAGATGGCAATGTTGAACGAGTTTGTGGGCTTATCCATCCACGGTCTCATAACGGAGGCAGCAATAAGTGCGGCGACTTCAACGATGATGAGGCAGATGGCCTGTGCGACGGAACTCTTCTGGCCAAAGGCAATCACCATAGATTTGACGAGTGCGTATGCTAGGACAGGGGCGATAAAGTAGTAAGCAGAAGCACGGAACTGCATATACAGGAAGCCCCAGCGGTTGAGAGCCTGCGGATCTGAGAAGAGAATGTAGGCCGGGTTCTGGTGCATGGCGACGGAGCGACGAGCAATGCGAATGACCTTGCTGGCGCCCCAGCCGAGCGTAACAATAAGACCAAAGAGGAAAACGACAGCCAAAACAACCTCGGCGGGCGAATCAACCTGAGTAAACTCCCAGAGGCAGAGCAGAGTGACACCGGGGAAGCCGAGGAGAGCAACACGGTAGAGAATGCCCTTGAGAACAGTAAGCCAGCCGTTGCGGAAGTCCAGAAAGCGGTCGTTCTTCATGACTTGGTTCTTGGCGAGCACCTCGCAAATGCCCTTGAAAGCGGCTACACCCAGGACGGTGAAGAGAGCAAAAAGGACAAAGAAGATGAGACCAGTCATGAAGAGGTTCGTCGTCTCAATTTTGGCGCGGAAAGCCACACGCTGGATGCCGTAAACGATGTAGGTGCCCTGGCTCGTCTCAATGTTGGCACGCTTAGCCATGGAGTGAACAACCTTGGGGGCCATGGCGACAGCGCGGTTGAACAAGTCGACGCTAGTGTTTACGGCGGCCTCGGCCACGTCAAGGCCTCTCTTTTGGACTTGGACGGAGCGGGTGAGCAAGTTGTCAAAAATGGTGGACGGCGTGCCGCCGGTGGCGCGCTGATACCAAGTGGTGAGGTCCTGGAGGAAGCCGACGCGGATGATACCGAGGGACCACTGGAAGTTCTGGGTCCAGGCCATGACGATGGGAGGCATCTTGACGCTGGTGAGGCCAGCAATGGCCTGCGATTGGAAGTAACCAAAGAGCGAGAGGGAATTGGCGGCGACATGGGCGGCGGTGTTGTATTGGCCGAGGCCGTTGACAATGGCAGAGGAGATAAGGGCCAAGCCAGCAATAATGGCAGTAGCCCACTTGACTCCAGCCAAGTCGACAGTCTTTCCGTTGGAGATGTCGGCCTCGACGCAGGCGACGGCGCCGGAACCATCGGTGCCGTTGATAAGCACACGAACCTTGGCGTCCAGGTCAGGGATGGCATAGGCGATTCCGGGAATCTTCGAGGCGGCACCCTCGCCCAAGTTCAGGTTGAAGTCGAGAGGAATCTTGCCGGCAGTCATGGGACAGAGGCCCTGGAGCGTGGTGGTGCAGGGATCGACGGTCTGGTGGATGATCTGATAGCCGTAGGCGGTGACGGTCAGGTCAAACTTGACATAGCCGTGGATGGTCGAGGTGGCGACAATCTTGACGAAGGCGGTATTGTTGTTTGGCGTAAAGGTGACTTGGAAGAGGGAGGCAGAGAAGCCCGAGTTGTCCTGACAGGTACTGAGGGCGAGGGACTGCAGCTTGTTCTCGGCCTGTACGGGCGACAGGAGAGTGGCGGCCGCTGCGAGCAACAGCAGCGGCGCCTTGAATAGGGACCGCATGGTATTGGAGGTGGGTGAAGAGACGGACGGGTGCTCGGATTCGTAGGCGGAATCGGGAGTGCGGAGGTGGGAAGTCGCAAAAGTCGGTCGGCGGGCGTATTTGGTAGTCGGAGAATCGGGGGCTGTCGAAGCGGATATCCGAATGGGTACTGAAGAGAAGTGATGCGAATTGTGGTTAAGAGAGAGAGATGCTTTCTACCAGAGAAAAGACAAAACGCAGGTGTAATTGAATGGACTGTTAATCGAGTCGCGAAAAAAATAACGAAAGGAGACGGACGACTGGGATAGCGAGCGTGGACAGGGAATATATGGAAGCAGGAGGTCGACAAATAGTGTACCTCTTGCAGCTAGATTCCCTCTTTTTGTCGAAAGAAGAACTAGTTCAAGGTGTTAGGAAACGAAGAATTGAGGCTGGTCATGAGGTGACCGTTTGATGGAGGGAAAAAGCAGATGGGACTGGCGGCTCGGAAGTAAGGGGGGGGTTGTGCTTTGTGCTGGGGTTGGATTTGACTTGCGTGCGCCGCCTGACTGAGGAACGATGCGACCCCTGTAACTTACCTGTAGCCCGTAGGACCTTGATTTTTGGGTGAGGCAAAGCAAAGGGGAGAGAGGGGGGGTTGGCCGGGGTGGGTGAGGCTGCGCCCACCTTGGCGGATGGGATTGTGGAAACGAGGGATTGGCTAAAAATGGGACAGGGGCTCGGCATGGGCCTCCAGGCACAGGCCGCTCACAAGTGGTTGGGAAGACGCTGGATGCGATGGCCACTAAAATGCGCTGTACGGGTATCAGTGGGCTGGCGATGCTCCAGACTGCAAGTCTGGATGCTGTTGTTGTTGGTGCAGTCTGCAGGCGCTAATTCGCAAAATCGGGCGCAGCGAATCACAGCAGGCGACGGCGGGGTTTTGCATCGACCCGGTGTACCAGATGAGTGGGCCGAGATGGGCTGTGCAGTACATGGGATTTGCACACTGAAATGCGGGTGCGAGAGGTAACTCGACCAAGATCAACTTGTACGGTGCACCGCAGCACGATAGCACAAGACGAAGCGAGAGAAAAACGGCAAACCGCCAAGTCTGCCAATGTGTAGTTTCTTCGTATACTTGGCTAGCCTATGTATACAACATAGTGGCAGGGCAGAGTGATAATCTGGGCAGCAGAGTAAACAATCTCCAACCCCGCGATTAAGGGTTATTATGCCTCTCGCATACGCATCAACAGCCTTTACGATAACTCGTGCAGCCCGATCCACCAGCGCAAAGCATCTCTCCAACCCCCCGCAACAGAAATATGCTCCGTAGATCAACCCGGTTTAATATGGAGGCTGGTGAAGCTGTCTTTACACTTAACTCACAGGAACAATAGAAAAAACGTGACCATTCCTGCCCGTCAGCACCATTGGCTCGGCGCCACCCCGCTACTGGGAAGCTCGAATTCCAGTTATCCGTACATCCACTCTTTTAACCTGAGCCATTCTTTGCGCTAACCTAACAGCCAGGGGGTACCCAACTCACTAGACCAGGGGTAAACAATAAGCATTGTTGGACGAGAAACCTGTTGTGTAAGGAGTACCCGTCGTTACTTTGTGAAGCCCTTTGTAATAAGATCCAACAAGAAAGCAATCAACGAAGTTTGCAAAAAGAGAGGGAAACAAAAGTCATCGAATTTTCCGCGACTCGCATTCCTCTTGCATAGCCTTCTCGCCAAGTAAACCCCCCCCCCTTCGCTTGAACAGCCGCCCACCGCAAATTGCCCAGCCAATGCCCAGCCCAGCCCAGCCGCCCAGCCCTTCTTCCTCTTGGCCTTTTTTTCTCGCCGCCTTCTCGGACCTTTCTTGGCTTACCTACTACGTTGAGTGCATTTTCCGCCCGGGGAGCCTCAGCCGCCCAAGGCCCTGGGCTGTGTCTTTGTGCTTTCATTGGCCGAGCTCGGCAAACATTGGCGTGCGAGCAGGTTTGACAGCTGCGCGGGTTCGTGTGCAGCATCATCTATTTACTTCCACAACTCGTATCTGTGCGTGCCACGGATCGCTTTCACCTGTGATGGATGTCAGCCTCGCGGCGCCCCCATCTCCTGCAAAACGTCAAGCGTCGTGCGGCTGGCCTCCTCTTACGGGTACTGCAGGGTAGCGATACAGCCCGCCGACCAGTAACTAGGAGGGAGAGACGGAAGAACGGCAGCGCAACTCGATCTGCGTTGTAACCATATGCCGTCTCTGCCATTCAATTTGATTTCTAGCCGTCTGTTGTGCTGTCGCTGACCTGAAACGCCGAACTTGTAGCGGCCCGTCCAGGAACTTGGGATGGTATCTGCTCGCGGCCATTACTGTTTCACCCCAGCTTCAGATGCTCTAGACCAGACAGAGGATACGAGTTGTTGGCGACAAAAAACGTCACATGTATTTTCGTCATTATTGCCACATTCTCGTAGCAAAATGAATTTACGTATAAAAGTATAGATCTCTATACATTTCAATACATGAAGCAGTCGCTCATTACATCATGTCAACATTATAGCAAAGTATATCACCCTCACTCCATTACTGTAGTCTACACCTCATCACAGTACATCCCACTGCGTATTCCATGGCTTGTTACCCTTTGAATAGTCCACGCCGTGCTTGTACGTGCTCATCAGCTCCTCCTGGTCCACGCCGCAATGCGTCTGCCCATCGCGGCCCTCGAACCACCCCAGCCCGTACGTCGCGCCGCCGTCGCACTCCCGCAGCCGCCGCGCCATCTCCGTGCCGTTCAACTTGGCCGTCCCCACGAAGCGGTACAGCATCTTGCTCTGGTGGATGAACGCGAGCACCGACGCGATCGTGTTGGGTTGCCGCGGCAGGAACGGGTGGCGCCGCCGCACGAACACGACCGTCGCCACGACTGTCATGTACAGCAGCACGAACATGGTGAGCCCAAAGCTCACGGAAAATGACACGATCGTGTCCTGCCCCGCGTAGATGCTCTTGAGGTTGTTGCTGTCGTTGTCGGCGGGCTCGTCGCGGCCCGTGTAGGCCTTGATGAAGCCCTGCCCGTCCGACGTCGTCAGCCCGGTGACGAAGACGGTCAGGAACTCGGCCAGGATGCTGCCAAAGCCCACAAAGAACATGATAAGGTGCCCGTTGGCCAGCGCCCGCAGCGGCATGTACCCGAACGGCAGCGCTGTGTAGTCGAGCGTGAGGATCTTGGACGGCGCGTGCCGCCGCGACAGGATGTAGTAGGGCTCCATCATGCGCACCGCCGTCTCCATCCCGTTCCACGACAGCTTCAGGCACACCGCCCACGCCGTCGCGAACCACGGCGCTTTGTCCGTCACCACGCCGGCGTCGGTGAAGACGAATGCCGGCACGAACCCCATAAACGCAACAAGCGCGACGATGAACGTTACGCACCCGCCCGGCCGTAGCATCAGGGGGTGCGGGTTGTCCGACATGTGGTTGACGGGTTCGTCGTCCACCCCGTAGAACTTTTCCCTATCCTTGGCAGACGTCAGGTTCTCGTCGTCGGGCGCCAGGGAAGAGTTTTTCAACATGTAGCGGTGATATTTTAGCTTGTGGTGAATGTCGTTATGCTTGGCCGTGTCCATGTCCTTGAAGTCCATGAGGATGTGGCTCACCACCGCCATGGACGCGAGGCCCGCGATGCCGCGCACGTCCGAGTTGAGGCCGGAGCGTCGCTTCTGCAGCAAAACAAACAGCACGGTCGCCAGCACCGCGCAGATGGTCAGCGTCGACGTCAGCAGCCGCGACCACGTCGACGAAAAGGTGAGCGTCTTCTCCGCGTCCGGGTGCGCGTTGCGCTCGCGCAGGCTCGGCGTGAGAATGACCGAGGCCGCCGCAAACGTCGGCCCGAGCGAGCCCGCCAGCAGCGTGCCGAGCGACGACACGGCGACAGTGTAGTGGCCCAGCTTCAGCGCGCGAATCGGCCGTACGAGGTTGAAGCTCGTCACGTAGTCGACGTTGATAGATTCGGAGGCCAGCGCGCCGCCATCCTTGGACAGCTGGTAGAAGGCCTCGAGGCGGCGCACCTCAAAGTCGGTAAACTGCCACAGCACACCGTACACGACGGCCGCGAGCGTCGGCAGGAACTTGACGGCGAAGTAGATAAGCGGCTGGACCTCCTTGGGCGAGTGGAATGCTAGGATGGGCGTGTCACGGAAGCGCCTGAACAGCACCTCCTGCATGACGGCCAGGCCAACGGACACGAGCACCAGCAGCGTCAGGTGTGGCCAACGCATCGACCACGGCTTCCAGTTGGGCTTGGGAAAGAAGATTTGCCGCTTGAGCGCCGCGCTGGGGAACGTGGAGCGCCGCAGCGCGTCCGGCTGCTCGTCGTCGCCGTGGATGGGCAAGTGGCCGCCCTCGATGCTGCTCAGGTCCGCGCTCGGCTCCTCGATGATGACCTCGATGACGCGCCCTAGGCGGTCGGCTTCGTCCTGGCCGCGCGTCTTGATGGTCTCGGCGCGGGTCGGCGGCCGCGAGGCCCGGAGTAAGGTAAAGGAGCGGGACATGCTCCGAGGGGTGCTCGGCGAGGCAAGCAACTCGGCGTCGCGGAGCGTCGAGTCTGCACGGAAGCCTTGGCCCAGGCCGCCGGACAGGACGCCTTGTGACTCCTGTTGCTGCCACTGGGAGAGGTATTCGTTATCGTGTGCGGAGAGCGGACCGAGCGCCGACCCAACGTCAAAGCCCACGGGCGACATTGGCGGCATGTCGTCCGAGACTTGACGCGTGTGTTGAGGAAACACGGGCGTCATGCCCATGGGAGCAGGATGCGAGAGCAGTGTCATGGCGTACGACTCGTCGTCGCCGTGCTCAGGAATGGCGTTGCCTAGGGTTGGCGCATAGCTGCTGCGAGAGCGGAAGCTTGTCGCCGAGGATCGTCGTCCGGTCGTTGGTCTCGAGACTTCGTTGCCGCCCACAAGCGGTGCATACCGTCGTGAGTTGGAGTAGGAGAGGGACCCACGCCAAGACGGTCGTCGAGACTGGTAGTTCGTTTCGTCTCCGAAGGGTGACACGACTGAACTGCCGCCGCCGCCGCCGCTGTATGGCGAGACGGCGACTGTGCTGCCGCTGCCGCCGGCACTGTACAACGACGTCGGGGAGGCTACGGCATAGATCGGGCTGGCTATGGTTGATTCGCTGACGGTAGATGCCTCATAGGGACTGATGCCAATGTCGGTGACGTTCGAGATGTTGGAGCTTCGGTGGGATAGCTCGAGTTCGGGAGATGGACGAGGGAGGGGAGAAGCGGCGGCGTGGCCTTGGCGCAGGGGCTCCTTGCCTCGTTCGCTATTCCAATCCATTCCCTAGGATTCAAACCATTGTCGGACGGCGAAAGGACGTTGTCTCGTGGTGGGCGAGGCGGCGCAGTCGTCGCCAAGGTTTTTGTTGTTCGGTTGGCTGTAGCGGGGCGGCGAATGAAGCAAACGACGCGATGCAATATGAACGGGTGAAGGCTGGACTTTAGTGCTTGAGAGTAAAGCTGCGAGGTTGAAAGAATGGAGGAGAAAAAAGTGACTGGAAATGAAGGACAGAAGAAGGACGAGATTTGAAGGAGCGTCTGGACAGGTCGGAGATGTTGGCGGCCTGCCTCAGCTGGCGGCGCTGGAGCTGAAGTGCAGCAAGTGGGCAGGCGACCAGCCACCATTGGCTGCGGGAGGGGATCTCTATTCTTGGCTTTGGGGCACCCGTTCGGGCGAGTAATTAATCCCACGTTGGCTTTCTAAGCTCAAAAAGCAAGCCTCACCATGCCAGGAAAAAATAGGGCTGCCTAGTGCGTTGCTTTTTGTAGCCAAACGTAGTTTCGTTTATTCTTATTTATTAGCGTAGCCGGACCAAGATGGTATCAAGCTGCGGCGGTGGGATAGGTACCTATGTACATACATACCTACATACATAGCTAAAGTCTGGGTCAGGAGTCGGCTTCTGCTTGCTGTGTTGCAGCCGCCTAGCAGGTCTTTGTGCCCGCGGCCACCCCATGGACCTCGAGACGACCTAGTGCCAGCGGCCTCCCGGCGCTATTGATGAGGCTGGACGCCCTCATTGCCATTTCTCGTATTTCCATCTCGGTTGTGGTGGTACTTATTGGGTGGGGCGCGATTCCAGTTCACAAGTTGATGCTGCAGCCATGGCGATCATGGCGCGAGCAAAGGGCGTTGGGGTAAAAATCTGTAAAAAAAAAAAAAAGGAACGTCGTTACCCAATCGCGACAGATTTTAATGACAGAGTCAAGGAATAAGTAACGGACATACAAAAGGATGAGAAATCTAAATATAGGCAAGATAGCCGTAATTTTCAAAGGAACCTCTATCTGTCGTAGCAGATCACAGATTACGGTGGACTGGAATACTTGTGAGAAGGAAATTATGTCTCTGTATTTGAAAGAAGCAGTTTTTCACGATGCGTCTAATATACCAAAAAGCCCACATAACGCCATGCTGAAATGAAAAGGCAAGACTGCAGCCGAAAACAAGACCACACTTAGCCCAACTACAGAACCAGAAATGCAGCTAACATGAGCGCTGCGGCGCCGACCCAGTGGGTACAACTGAGCATCTGCCCGGCCGAGACCTGGCCGCAGCAGGTGCGGTTGTAGGTGACGTTGTTGAGGCGTGCGGCGGCGAGGAATACGGAGCCGTTGATTTTGTCGGAACCGTAGTTGTAGTAGTCGACGTTGAGGAAGTTGGGGGCGCGACCCCAGTCGGAGCGGCAGTTGTTGGCGGCCATGCCGAGGCTGCCCGGGCCCTCGGCGGCGTTGGTCTGGTTGAGGAGGGAGACGGCGGGCACGAGGAGCTGAATGTCAAAGACGTTGAACTCGGCGTTGAGGTTGTGGTTCATGAGATACATGCGGTCGCGGGCGTCTTCCGGTTTGAGGTCGGGCGGGCGCTGGACGGTGCACGGGAACGCGGTGTCGGTCGGGTCAAAGGGCGTCTCCCAGACCTGCGAGAACTCGTCGAGCAGCCAGGGGACGGCGGTGTGGTTGGCATTGTAGTCGAGGAACATGATGACGCGCTTGCCGCGGAGGATGAGCTCCTCGAGCGTGGGCCAGTCGCCGAGGCGCATGGGCAGCAGCGGCGGCGTGTACGCGTACTTTTGGATGCCACTCTTCTCGATGAAGGGCTTGTAGAGCGATGCGTCCGAGTAGTTGCCGTTGCCGAGGAGGATCGTGACGACGTCATACGGGTGGTCGTCGACCCATTCGCGTACCTCGGTCAGCCAGTCGTAGATGGGGCCGGCGTCAAGGATGTCGCACGAGGTATGGCAAAAGTGCGGCTCGGTGCCGTTGGTCGGCCACTGCATCTGGCCCTGTACGAGCCGGATGCCGTCGTTCAGCTGCACCTTGACGGGCAGCGCCTGGTTGGAGGCCGAGTTGCCGGGGCGGACAAATGGCGAGTTGTGGGCCGCAACGAAGCTGATATTGCTGTAGCGGCGGGTGCAGAACTCGACGTAGTTGTTGCAGGGCTGGGTGTTTGTGGGCGTCGCGGAGGTGGTGCCGTTGCTGGTGCTCGTGGGCGTTGTCGTTGTCGTGCTGGTCGCGGTGGTGGTATCGTTGCTGCCGGTGAGGGTGATTTGTGTGCCGTAGCTCGAGTAGATGCCACTTGGGGGCCCTGTGGACGTGGATGGGGGGATGGTACGGGTGCCGGTGAAGAAGGTGAGGCCGGAGGAGTCGCTATATGAGACGACCTGAGCTAGGCCGGCCGGGGCGAGGACAACGGCGGCAACGGCCGCAAGTGATGGCCTCATGGCGATGAGAAAGACACGCGGATTGAGTTGTACAATCCCAATGGGTTGTATGGTAGTTGAAAAAAGCCGAAATGGGATATAGGAGGAACGAGAAAAGGAACCAAACAAGTAAGAGTTAATGCTGTGTGGTTGTTGAGAAATGGATAGCGAGAGCAAGGCAAGGGCTGCTGGCGCTAGGGAAATTTAGTGACGTCGGCTGGGGGCAGGTCCCGCCGAAGCAGGATGGAACTATTTTCTTGTAAATACTAACTACCTAATATTATGTATTGTCTTTCTTATGTTTCCTATCTTTCTTGATATTTTATCTTCTATGTTTTCTATGTCCTCTATGCCCTATTTTATTTTTTGTCTTCTCTATCCACTGGATCTGTGCCCGTATCAAATGCGTCCACACCTTTGGAATCGTAGCAACGATTTTTGACCGGCACATCTGAATCTGCCAAGGCCTGGACTCTAGTCTGTCTTGGTGCTATTGGTTGGAATTCGCTCACGCTGGGCAATTAAATATTTCCTGGCCTGATGGTCCAGCTAATTATTTTGCTGGACTAGCTGTTGTAATTGACGAGGTCTCGTAAAACATCGGAGTCCGAAAGTAGCGGCTACCTTGGCCGATGTGGCTTGGCGAGGCACTTGAGGTGTAGGCAGTAGTCTGCTGATGATTGGAAAACGAAGGGAAAATTGACGAAGGAAATAGGAAGGCTAGCTACTACTGAGAATGTTCAAAAACGAGAAATGGTATCTGACAGAAACACTGTGGCAGAGCTTGCAATGCCTCCTCGCTGTCAGTTGGCAACGCGCCTTGCGTGGCTGAGCCTCCGCGCGGCGGAGATATCGTGAGCGGATGGCTCCACAGCCTCGGCGCCCAACCGCCCGGTGTGGCAGACCACTAAGCTGTTTGTGCGCAGTCATGACCTCATCGTTTTGAGACAATATAATGCGTCAAGTTTGAGGGAAATAAGAAGAAAAAAAAAGGAAGTTTGTTGCCCACATCCTCCTTTGCTGTGTGCATCAATGGAGATTTTGGACAGGGCTGGGACGATCGCTGTGGGACAAGAAAGACCTCTCATCTCGGGATCCCTGGCAAGCCTGGACGCCCGATCTCGACGAGACGCGTAATCACAGGGTAGTTGCTGCCAGGTTAGCGCTGGCTTTTTCTGCTGCCCCAGCAAACACGCGCTGGGCTTTCGGTTGGTCGGCACGGCATATTTGCGTCTTTCCTCAGTTAGGCTCGTCTCTGCCTGGACTGCTTGTAGCTACACTTGCATTACCAGCTTGTACCATGACTTGTATTCATATCCTACTGAGCTATTGAAGCAATTCTCTAACTGCCCCTTTCTTGCCCTGCCAAGAGTCCCTTGTCATGCAGTGGTACGCTAACACAATTTTAATGATGAGCTGCCTTGATTTTGCCCTGGAACTTGGAAGAGGTCGAAATAAGTCTCCGTTGTCAGATCCATGGCCGTGACAACCCATGTCAAATAACCGCACCAAGTGGCCCAGTTCCAGTCAGTGGATGCGCCCCCGTATTCCAGCCTCTGCCGCTCTAACTATGTAAGCTTTTGCTTTTGTTCCCCGCTGCCACTGGCTGGGCATCCACTGTAGTCTCTGCCATTCCGCCCGAATCATCCTGCCTCCTTAGCTCCTCCTGCCAATAGTACATACACATGTATGTATGTATGTACATAGGTACATAGGTAGGCAGTTGTAGCTGTAGCTTGGCGATGACGGCACCGCTACTTTTTCCCTTCTCTCTCCATCCCACACCATCCCATCATCCACGCTCGTTTCCATCTCTGTTTCTGAAGCTATATCGTCAATTGAACCATTACTCGCTTAACAAAACTCTAGACGAAATACCTGGATATGCATAGACGTTGAGTAGAACGGTGCTCCTCTCCTCCCACGACGGCCCCTGCTTCAGGCCCGCGACATCCATACCCAAACAGCCGCGCACATCAACATCACCACCATGGCGCCTCCAAAAGCTCGCCGCAACACTACAATCATCGCCTGGCTCTGTTATCTCATCACCATCCCCTTTCTCGTTCTCGTCCTAATCGGTAACACACACATCAATGGCGTTCTCAACGACATTTACTTCTTCAAGCTCGACGTCTCCCACATCATCCCCATCGCTGTCGAAAACTCCCAGCTGCTCAACTCGGTCGCCCGCAGCCTCGGTCTCCATGATTTTTATTCTGTTGGCCTCTGGAACTTTTGCGAAGGTTATCTTGATGAGTATGTTTCCACCTGGCCCTTCTCTATGCCCAGACGCGCAACCAAGGTAGCTAACATCCTGACAGAGGCGTCACCTTTTGCTCCCGCCCCAAGCAGTATTACTGGTTCAATCCGGTCGAGGTCCTCGTCAGCGAGCTGCTTGCCGGCGCCAAGATAGCACTGCCCTCCCAGGTTATCACCATCCTCACCCTCCTGCGTATCGGCTCGCAAGTCATGTACGGGTGCTTCATGGCCGGCACCATTCTAAACGCCATTCTGCTCGTCCTTACGCCCCTCGCCACCCGCCGCCGCTTATTCTCCCTATTTATCTCCATCATCGGCCTTCTTTCGGTCATTACGCTCGCCGTCGCCTCCGTCATTGCCACCGTCATCAGCGTCGCCGCCAGGATCGCGCTCACGGCCCAGGACCAGCTCAACATCAGCGCTGACATTGGCATCAAGATGTTTGTCTTTATGTGGATTGGCACCCTCGTCACGCTCCTCGCCTTCTTGCTGCACTCAGCCATGGGCTGCTTCTGCCGGCCACAGCGGATCAAGCGGTCGTCATCGTCGAAGCGTTCGAATGGCAGTATGGCCGAGACGAGTAGTAGCAACCACAATGGGTCACTTCCTCGATTTATGAGCCGAAAAAAGACGAAAAGCTCCTCACCGAAAAGTTCCTCACCGCAATAGATAGAAAGAGTGTAATAAGCTAGACTTTGGTATAATATGGGACTGGTCTTTTGCATTCACAGCTTGGCGTTTGGATACTGTAGACGGGTACTACATTGGATACAGCGAATTTATTTCCGGATTTTCAGTTTTAGGATAGACATTTGTTAGCGCAATACTGATGCAAGAAAGAGACTTTTTTAAAGATCAAGTGATGGGATTGGCGGGCGCTGCTCAACAGGGCAAGCATTGTGGAAAGCTGTCAACAAATCCTTTTAGAGACACAGATGTTTACTCAACGAAAGCACATGTTTAAAAAGGCTGCACGGGGATTTGGGTATGTTTTATCTTTATTTCTCTTGTTTTTGTCTAATTTCTTTTTTAACCTCTTGTTTTGTCTTTTATTATTATCTTGACAAATACATATCTCGAAGGGGTATCATTCAAATCGAACAAACTCCAACGCCATATTTGTTGTTCCCAAATCAAGTCTGTCAACGACAGAATCCCAGAAATGATAACAAACTCCCGATTGAATGCAGGGTACCAGTACACCCATAACTTCGATGCAACACCAAACTCCAAAACATAACCGAGATCCAATCCCGAGCACCGAAGAGGCAAACAGAGTACTAAATGGTCCAATGTTGAACACGAGAGCGAAACGAGCCGCAATTCCAGGCAAGCAGGCGAGACAGAGCTGATGCCGTGTGGCCGCCCGCAGAGACCACTGAAAAGTGCCCATCCCGTACGGTTTGCGGTCACGACTAATCTGCTCTTTGCATCTCATCCTGTGTTTCGACGCTGCCATCATCGTCATCGACTGCCTCGTCGTCGTCGTCATCGTCGCCGGCGTTCCAAGCCAGCACGGTCTTGTCCACCGAGACGGTGCCGTTGAGAACCTCCCCTACATCGCGGGCGGCGAGCGGCGCGTTCAGCACAAACTCCTTGGCGGCACTGACGCGCCCGCTGAGCGTGCCGCAGCGCTTCGCCACGAAGCACTGGTTCACCGCGACCGCCACCGCGCGCAGCCCGTCGCCGCGCACCGCGTCCATGGTGATCCAGTTGGGGTAGAAGTCGTCGGCAAAGGCCGGCCAGAAGCGCTCGACGAGCATGTCCCACGCCTGCCGGTTGACCTCGGTGATGCTCGCCCCGAGGACGAGCTCGAGGCCCATCAGCGTGACGATGAACTCGCTGCCGTACAGCGGCCACTTGGCGCCGCCCACGCGCGCCTGCCGCAGCGCGCGCACCTGGTCGCTGAGCAGCTTGGCGCCGTTGCCGGCGTCGGAGTAGCGCTTGCGCAGGGGGAGCTCGGCGGAGGTGACGAAGCCTTCCCGGGCGCCGGGCCAGGAGGGCACGTCTCGGATGCGGGACTCCTCCATGCGGACGATGACGGCGGACTCGCCGCCGCCGATGAGTCGGTTGAGGGGCAGATGGGAGAGGTCCTTACCCGGCGTGATGTAGGCGCGGTGCTTGAGGTGCGTGAAGCCCTCGACGACCTCGGCGACGGCCGCGGCGTCCATCGGGTTGAACCACTTGCGCCCGTCGCGCATCTCGCTGCCGTCGACGTCGATGATGACGAGCTCGCCCGGGTGGTCGTCGTTGAACTGGTTCACCTGGCGCACCAGCTCGGCCTGCGTGATGCCCAGCCCGCCGTGGTAGAGCCCCAGTAGCTTGGTGCCGTGGGCCTCGAAGACGCTCCCGTTCTTGCCGATCGCCGGCCGGCAATCGATGACGCGCACGCCGCCGCGCGCCATCTGCGTGTACACGTCGTAGTCCTGCGTCAGCGTGTTGGCCGCGTTGCCGAGGCCGAGGCGCTTGGTGAGCGCGTACATGCCCGAGTGGTGGGAGCGCGGCAGCGTGACCTCGCGGAGCGTGCGGGTGCCGATCTCGGGCAGCGTGGCGCGCATCCACGCGGTGTCGATGTCGTTGGCGAAGAAGCGGCCCTCGGCGCCGGCGAGCACGAACGCGGGGCTCACGACGCCGTCGTGCACGCCGAGGTCGACGACCGCGGTGCCGTTGGCGTTGCCGACGGTGCGGAGGGCGCCGCCGTACTCTACGGTGATGCGGTGGGGGCGGTCCTCGGCGATATTGAGGGTGAACCACGACTCCTCGCGGGTGCCGACGAGCCGGTACACGGCCTCGGCGCGGCTGTTGAGCTCGCGCGTCCAGGCGATGGCGCTGACGGACTGGCCGGGATCGATGGAGTGGGCCAGCTTCTCGGCGAAGTTGCCCTTGATGTTCCAGGTCTTGACGCTGGACATTTGCCACCGGTACGGCGTCGCGTTGATGAGGCCGACCCAGATGCCGCCCACGTCAACCTGAGGTTGGAAGCGGGGCATCGGCCTGTCGAACAGGCCCAATTTGGTGCCGGCGGCGGCGCTGGGGAAGGACCGGTTGTTGTTGTTGTTGTCCTTGAGGACGCTGTTGAGGAGCTCAATCTTGGTCAGGTTGGCGGTTGTGTTGCCGGTGGGCTCGGCGAGCTCGGGGTCGGTGGTTTCAAACTGAAGCTTGCTCAATTGCTCCGCTGAACATGAGTGTTAGCAAAAGATGTGCGGTGGGCGAGAATATTGCCGGGGAAAGGGGAGTCTCCTTTATGTACTTGAAATGCCGAGGAGGCTAGCAACTGCGGCGAGATTGGTGTCAACATTGCCTTTACCTTTGACCACGTTATCGTCTTCCGACGGGTGGTCCGAGTCGTATATTTTAGCGGTAGTCCGTGGGAGCAACTTCTTTGACGTTGGCGTCGCCACCTTTGTGGTGGTGGTGATATTGGGGATGAGACTCGCTGTAATAGTAGCAGTCTCTGCCGTCATGTTTGTAGAGGTGATATTGACACTTGGAGTGAGACTCGCGGTGATTTTAGCAGTCTCTGTCGTCGCGTTTGTAGTGGTGATATTGGCACTGGGAATGAGAGTGGCCGTGGCGATATGCACCCTGGTTGAAGTAGAAGTCACCCGCACGATGGTGATTTTCGTGACGGTTTGCTGCGTGGTTGTCTGGTTCGTTACGTTGAAGGGCGCGGCGTCGGCGAGGGAAGCGAGACCGACAGCGAGGAGCTTGACAATGGAGGACTTGATGAACGCCATGATGAGCTTGCAGATGAAGGCAGTTGAGAGGTTGCAAGAGAAAATTTGCCAACAAGGACGACCAAGCTGTGTAGCTAGGTATCGGGATGAGGAAACGGTGCGATGAGGCAGGATGGAGACCGAAGTTTAGGCAAGATTCAGAAGCGAACGGAGAGAATCTGTGGGAGGGGGGTCTTGTATTTAATAACAGACCATTAATTTCAAACATTTTACGTGTTTATTATAGAGTCCCTAGTCATCGTTCCGCGAACAGATGTTAAAGGCTAAGTATAAGACTATCCACGCCGTCCACTGCCATGGACTCACCTGGGCGTCGCCAAGTAGAATTAGACGAGGCTGACGATGCCCTCGTGGCAGAAACTAGGGCATTAGGCAACGTTCGAGAACAGCGTCGCCCTGACGATCCTCAACATAGTCCACGAAGAGAAAAAAGTCAAATCGCGAACGCGTAGGTCTAGAATTCTCACAGACGAGACGGAATCGCGGTTGATTCCCCCCCCCCCATCGCACAAAGGAAGAACTGATCTGTCACGTGGGACATATACCTGACAGAAAATCGACTTGTAGAAACGCACAACAATCGTGGGGAAAGCAAACCCACTTAGACGGTTGATTCTGTGGAAGATTGGTGCGTCCAAATATAGTTTGCAGAAGCGAAATGCTGAAGCCTCAATATCCAGGCAAACGCACGCCATGCTTGAAGCATTTGGCAGAACAAAGGTTGCTGAGCGCCTCAAAAGAAACCTTGCAAAAAGGCGAGACAGGGCCAAGCAGTGCTTATGCACGGACATGAATGTGGTGGCTGCAAGGAAGAAAAAGTCATCATAATCATTCATCATTATGAAACTAGAAAACCCCCACCGGTCAATTATGCTGTGTAAGACGAATGCATGTGCGATGACTTTACCAGTCACCAGTCCTAATCCATCTCTATCTGGTTGGCAGGCGGCCATTACCGGCATCGGCATAAGCATCAGCGATAGCCCGCGTGATGATTGTACTAAGCCTGGAAGCCATCCATCTTTCTATAGAAACCGAGCGCTTCATGCCCACTTTGGATTGTTGGTCCTAACCATTTGCCATGACAACGCCGGTCATCAGGTCCTCGTCCTCAATCTGGCTGTCAAAGCCAACGCCAGGATCATGACCCTCCTTCTCAGCTCTCTTTTGCTCGAGAGCTACGTACTTGATATATTCTCTTTTATCGCTCAGGCGGTCGTTGACTTCCTTGTATTGTTGTTTCAGGGCCGTGATGCGCATGTGCCTGGTGGCAATCTCCCGTGCGAAATCTTGTTCTGTCAGCACCGATGACGTATCACCGAATTTGAGAAAGGTACCGGCCGTTCCATCAACTTTCAAGATACCCTTGAGCATGCCAGAGCCCAGCATGTCCTGAATTAGAGCAATGACGTCTTCATCAGTCTTCAGCGGCTCTCCTGTTAGAGCGCTGCTGGTTAGGCGTCTGATCTGGGAGATGGACACTTCCGCAAAGACTTTTCGCAGATTGAAGATCTCCCATTTTTGGAATGAGGATAATACTTCGGCAACTAGACTTGTAGTGTCATCTTGTTGCCATATTCCTGCATTCGTCTCTGCACACTCTTTCAAGCCCTTGGCGCTAGGTGCGACAAAACGGCTAGCAAGTTCTTTGTATTCAGCGCTGAGCGAGTTGTATGATGCCACGGGCTGCTGTGAGGTGTAAGAAGGTAGTGAATGTACCTGGCCGGAGTTCAAAAGCCCGACAAGGAGCCATCTTTTGTGGCACTCCGTCATGACCTTGCTCACCCCCCGATCTTTGGTGGGGTGTGTGATGACTTGTTCCAGAGCCGCAAAGGCCTTGCTCCAGTCTCGTCGACTAGAATACACAAGAGACCTGAGAAAGTTGTATTCCAGAACGGAACTGCTCTTGAGGCCGTCTGTGAGACCGGTTGCTGTGGAGATGTACAAAGTGGGAGGGAGGGAGGGGTCGCACAGCCTTCGCCAGTCTCGCGTTTCCCGGCCAGACAACGTGGTCGGATAGCAAGTGATTTCCTTGTCCAGAACCTCGAGTGCTGGTTCCAATATGTTTGACTCGACAGCTATTTTGGCGAGAAGCAGGTGTGTCGACGTCAACAGGCTTCCTGTCGGGTCGATGCGGAGGATGGCTGTCGCCAGGAGTTCGACGGTAACGGCGGGCTACATTCAAGTCAGAACACGGCATCTTTCCCAAATTGCAGCCAACCTACGGGAAAAAGGCCACCAGAAAGGGCAAAGTCTAGAAAATTTCGAAAGATGGCGCCGACATATCGGATCTGAACGGGGTCGAAGCTTGTGAAGAAGTGCACAATCTTGTCCAACAGCACCTGTCTTTCGACGTGCTCCATCCCAGAGGCTATGATGGTGTCGAGTAGAAACAAGCATCCGATCGAGTTTCGAGAGGGATCGATTACCTAAGGCGCAACAGCTGCGATCAGCTATTCTGGTTGGTGGTCAAACGCGGGGGCGACCCAGCCTTACCTCCAATGCTCGTCGCGGGTCGGCACCCAAGGCTTCCCTGGCAGACTTGGGGATGGCGGTTGCCTGGGCCAGGTATCCTCTGATCTCGGCATCGCGATTCTTGACGCCTCCGCGGGGGCCGGGGTCTGCTAGGGAGTTGAGAATCACGAGCGCGTGGTCCATGGTGGCGGTGGTCTCGATTCTGGGGAAAGAACGAGCTGCCCGCTGATCAATGAGGCCGACCGGTAGTGAATTTTGCTGCTTGGAAGGAGGCTGAGAAGATTGATCGATTTAATAAAGAAAAGAAAAGCACGCCAATAGGGGTCGTCGTGTTGGATGTTGAAGAATCAAGCAAGGGTGGTTGTTTGCGTGGTGGGGTTGCGAGATCGAGCTGACCGATGTTATTAGCCCAGGGCTTCAGGCAACACAAGCGCGAGTGCTGTCACCACTTCACGCCTTGAGGCCTAGGCGGCTGCAGGTACTATGCAGCCTTGCAAACCATCTTTCTAAAAATATTTGAAATATTTCCAAAGTAGAAAGAGCAACTGAAAAAGCGCCATTTTCCCACTACTATACAATTAGTCTAATACGTCCCGTTCCCAAATTATCGCTGTTTTCCGTCTCAGTCATGAGTACCCACCAAAGCCGTCATTTCTGTAGTACCAAATTGTTTCCCAAAAACCCCAAGTCCAATGAAAACCCCATGTGCAATGCAATCCCAAAAGGCATGAACGAGTTGAACCTGAGCCATAATTCCCTAGCAAGCACGCCTAGGCCCCCGAACGAACGGAACGATGCCGTTTTGCATCCACTGCGAGCCTGGGGCCTTCCAGATGGTCGGTCCCGGCATGAAGCTGGCTTGCGCGTTCGACGGCTCTCTCGGCGGCACGCTGTGCTGCAGTTGATGTAACTGCTGCAGCATATGGTGCCGCTGGTGTTGTATCTGCGGTTGTAGCATCTGCTGTTGCCGCTGTATCTGCGGCTGTATAATTTGCTGCTGCAGCTGCGGCTCGAAAGTAGTCGGAGGAGTCACAGGGTGACTGCGGACTCGCAGAGCTTCATTGCCGCCTGGCTGTGCCGTCATCATCGTTGCCGTCCCGGAGAGCCCAGGCGAGGAGGAGGACGGCGGCGGCGTGTTGGGCGCTCCTCGACGTTGCAGCCGATTTTGATCCTCGGTATGCTTCTTCCACCACGTCGGTAGTCCGTGAAAGAGGCCGAGGGACTGCTGCGTTGCCTCGTCCTGGGGCATCTCGTGCTTGAACTTGCATCCTTGCTGCGTGAAAGCGCAGACGCCCTCGTGAATCCACTTGTCGCAGTAAATCTTGACCCTCCTGGTCGACTTGGGACTCGTGGCGACGATGCAGTCGATTTGTTTCTGGATCTCATGCTCTTTTAGTACACAGCGTGCTTGAGGGGAGGGACCCTGAGATGGATGTTGTAATTACCTGAAGATTGTCTGGCAGAGGTGACGGCTGCTGCTATCAGTTCGTCAGTCTGACGGATGGACCAGCGTTTGTGCTCGGGCCCGCAGCACTTACCTTTGATACGACGACTTGACGACAGTCCCTCGCATTTTCGAGATGCAGCTTCTCGATGGGCTCGAGTATCACCATGCCGTCGTGCTCCTCCTCGAGTCTCGGGACGTCTTTGAGCGGAGGCAGGGTGTCTGCCGGTATTAACCTCGTGTACTGCCCGTTCCCGCGGCTGAGATAGTAACTGAAGGCATTTGACGCTTGCCGCTCAAACGTGTAGTTGACGAGACCCGGACCGCCCGCTGGCAGCAGTGACTCGGGGTTGGAGCCGACGCTCGCGCACGACGACGAGGCTGTGTGCTGCCTTGAGCTGCCGCCGACGCCGTCCAGGTGCATGCTCCCGCGCAAGCTCAGCGACGCGGTGTCGACCGGTGAGCTCTGCACCGACTGCTGCACGTTCCAGACCCTCCTGTTCATGTTGATACTGGTGCTGATGCCGCTGCCGTACTGGTGCTGCTGCTGCTGCCGCTGCTGCCGCTGCTGCTGCTGCTCGCTTGGCTGTGACTGTGTCGTAAATGGCGGTGGTGCTTGTTCAGGCAGCAGCGAGGTGGATGCGGGCACATCACAAAACGACATATCGCAAACGTTTCTTGCGAACGACAAGGGGAACCGAGGACGGTGATGAAAGAAAGGAGAAGAAGAAACAGCTGCGTTCAAATGCAATTTTAAATATAAATTCGAGGAGGCTGGATCTTTCTGGAGACAGGTCGTTTGAGCTGGTCTTTGCGCTGGGTTGCTTTCCCGCTTCGCGCTGGCCCGAGAGCTGTGGTCGAGCGTGACACAAGAAGGTGAAAGGCGCCCGCAAGGTGATGTTATTATAATAATAAAGACGGCAAAGAGAGGGGGAGGCGAGCAAGGGGGACGAGAGTAGAACGCAGCAAAAATGAGTCCGAATCTGGAAAATTAGGAACAAGGACAATCAGATTATCCTCGCCCACATCCAAGGAGTCACCGTCACCGCATGACAAAGACATGCATGTCTAGGTATTCTCTGGGCACTTGACCTTGCAACAGGCTTGCCACGCATGGCTGCCTGGGCTGGCTGGCTGGCTGGCTGGCTGCAGGCGGACCACAAGTGAGGCAAACGTCATGTCATGTCGGGCAACGGGCAATGTCAAAGAAGAATGGCGGTTACATGCATTTTCCCCCGTCTATGGGTTATACCGAAGCAAAATCTATAAGTAGCACTATGAGCGACGGTAGCAAAAGTCTATGTATCTCATCACACATCTGCGGCGTCACAGGCGAATCGCGCCCCGCCGCACAGGTCCTCGTGCAGCAAGACAAATCATGTTGCTTTCCCGCTGCAAAGCAATTCTTAGCCACCTTATAACTTTAAGCACCATTGCTGTTCCTGTGCGCAGCAGACACCTCGCGTAGCCTTTCATGCAACATGTATAACCGGACTTGCTTCACTGCTCGTTGCTCCTTGTTATGGGCCACTTCGTCAATGGCTACCCTGACTTCCACCTCGGATGCTAGTCGAGCCACGTATGGCCAGAAATCCTTTGGAACTAGTCCCGTCGATACTGGTGTACCCTGAGCCTGAGCCTGAGCCTGAGCTCGAGCTCCATTCTTAGGGATCATGATCACGCTGGAGGCGTGGCCAGCCCCCCCGTTCCGATGGCCGGCTTGACCATACGCGGCGTTTGTGCTTCCTGGGATCTTGCCGTCTCGCAGGGCTCGGACGGAGGGCGGGACAAGGGCTAATTTTTCTTTGATCCCCCATTCCGACCCGGAGGGGATCGCTGTGCCTTGAACACGCTCGGCTTCGGCGGGGCGCTGGGTTTGGGTCGTGTTTGTTTGCTGGCGGAGTTCCCGCCTGCCGGTTTCGTCTTCTTCTGTACGGGTGTACTATTAACTTCTCTGCCCTTGGTCGGAGTCTTCTTGGTTGGGGTCGGTGAAGGGGTGGGTAGTTGTGCCTGATTTCTGCGGCGTTTTTTACCTTTTGCAATTGCGGGTTTATCATCGTCGGATTCGCTCGAACCGTCGGCTCCTGAGAACTCATCGCTCTCGCTAGATGCTCCGTTTTCCAGGTCTTCTGTTTGAGCGCCAGCTTTGGCCGTGTAGTCGATTTTCTAGTCCGAATTGTTAGCTGATCATTGTTCTCCAGAAAAGCTCCAATAGTAGACATACCGTGCGGCGCCGTCCGCCTCTGCCCAGAATCTCGCGGTTCGCTTCTGCCTTGCGGCGGGCCTCCTCTTCTCTCTGTGCAATAATCTTGTCCCAAACGCCCGAATTCAGCGGCAGAGGCGCCTCAGCCTCGGCAGTTGGCAAGCTTTCAAATGCAGCCGAATCAGAGTCCCATACGCGAGTGTGGGAAAACGGGTTCTCGCCAGATGACTTTTCTTCCACGTTGGCCTGCTCAATCTGCGATCGATCGAGCAAACTATCAACCATCGCCGATGTGTACTCAATTTTGGTCTTTTGGTAGTTCTCATTGAACAGAGCAGACGCTCCATGCTTGAGAATGGACTCGAGGTCTGTACCCTCCAACTCATTGTCATCCATGCTTTCGATAAGAGCATGGTCCAGGGCCATTTTGCTTCTGCCAACTTGCACAATTCGTTCCTCAACCGAGTCTTTCGTCATAAGCTGGAAGCAAAGCACCTTGTTCTTTTGTCCGATTCGATGGGCTCGAGAAAGAGCTTGCAAATCTTGATGCGGGTTAAAGTCAGGATCCATGATGATGACGGTATCAGCAGTCGCCAGATTGATACCGACGCCGCCCGCACGCGTGGAGAGCAGGAACGCAAATAGCGGCGAGTCGGGTTCGTTGAAAGCGTCAATTCGTTTCTGCTTCTCCAGACTCGACATCCCACCATCAAGTCTTCTATATTCGTAGCCCAGGCCTACCATGAAATCTTCTATGATATCCAGCTGCTGTAGAAACTGGCTGAAGATGAGAACTCGATGGCCGCGCTCTTTTAGCTTTGGTAGCATAATCTCGAGAAGAAGAAGTTTTGCGGAAGCCTCGATGAGATTGCGAAACATGACGGCATGGTCATGGTGTCTCTCTTCAATGTTTTCCGAGTACATGAAGGGGTGGCAAAGGCACTTGCGTAGCTGCATTAGAATATTGTTGAGGCTGCCTCGCTCAGTCCTCCCAAGCTTGCCCTCTGCGAATATGGCCTTGATGAGTTCGGGGTTCTTGGCCATGATGCTCTTTGCCAACTTTTCTTGAACAACCGTCATAGTAACTGGTACGATGATCTGCGCCATGGGCGGGAGGAATTTGAGCACGCCAGCCTTGGTACGTCGAAGGAAATAGGGTCGGATTCGATCGTGCAATTGGGGCAAGGTCTCCTTATCTAGAACCTCAAACTCTGCATCGAGTTTCGCAGCATCTTGCGTTCTGTCAATGAACTGAACAAGGTTGAACAGTTCACGTTTGTTATTCTGTAGAGGCGTGCCCGTGAGCAATAGCTGAAACGGTATCTTCATGGCACGCAGGGCTTGGTAGAGAAGATTCTGGTCATTCTTGAGGCGTTGACCCTCATCCACAACCAGACCAGCCCACTTGATAGCCTTGAAAAGGCTCGACGTTTTTGGATCTTGAGCTGAATCATACGACATGATGACAACGTGAGCGCGCATGCTGCCACCCTGCTCGGGGAAGAGTTCATAACGATAGGTGAGCTCCTGGGACTCTCTGCCTCCATGATAGGCAACGACTCGAACGTCCGGCGCCCATTGTCTAAACTCGCGTCGCCAATTGGGACACGTGGAGTTTGGGACGACAATGAGGAATGGCCAGCACTGGAATGGAACGTTAGAACAAACCATCTTTGACGGAGACATGTGCATACCTTGGGACTATCCTGCACCAGGCTCGTCACGAGACTAACAACTTGGACCGTTTTGCCAAGGCCCATTTCATCCGCAAGGACAACGCTGCGACCTTGATGATAGTTTTCAAGCAGCCAGTTCAGGCCTTCCAATTGGTAAGCCATCAATTTGCCGCGGCGGATTCCGTTTGGCTGTGCGTCCAGCTTTGTGAACTCTTCATTCCTGTACGCTTCAAGGCGTTGTCGGATTTTTGCTTGTGGCTCCTGTTCGAAATACTTTCCGTTGACATACTCGCCATACGCCTCGACAAACGCTGAATGGAGTGTCTTCATGTGGGGTGCTGGTGGCGTGTCCCAGACGACATCCTCGTAGCCAAGGCCCTGGAACTTGACAAAAATACGGCGAACATGAGAGATGTTGCTCATCATCTCTTCTTTGGAGCGATGTGGTGGTGCGGTCGAATCCATCTTAGCAACAAGAATGATGTCTGGGGCCAAAAATTCCTCGGGAATTGCGTCCTTCTCAGTCATTTTGAGCAAACTTTGTTCCAGATCACGTTTTCCGAATGCTTTTCGTGAGAGCGCCGCAGCAATGCCGAAGACCCAAGCACCGGGAAGCCACGTGCAGTGGGCATATGATTTAGTCTCCCATTTGACGAGGTATTCCTTGTCGTCTTCCGACACATCCTGCCAGTAGGGAGGGCGCTGTCCCTTGACAGGTGAGAAGGGCGTAGTTGGTCGCCAAGCGACGAGGCGATGAATCTTGTGTGTGGTGCCGGTGCACTCTGAACAGCGCCAGTTCTCCGGGTGGCTGCCAACATCCGACTGAATCCCCAGTTCCGGCAAATGATTCTGATGCCAGCCCCTATGACATGTCTGGCAGCGGAAAAGAACATTTTCGCTGTTGTTGATCAACTCAAGCGCCATGGGCGTCACTGGGTCAACTCCGTTGTTCTCCTCGCGCAACTTCTCCTCCTGACGCCCTGTGCGTTTTGGAGCGAATGCCGAACACGACAGCCCTGGAGATTTGCATTGCTGGCACATATCGTATTTCGGAGCAATGGACTCCCTGGAAGTGTAGACTCCGATGCAGAATTTGCATTGTAAAACAAACGAATCTTCATCGACCTTGACAGCTATGTGCTCTCGAGAGCTGCGAAGGCCAATACAGCCCCTGTGGAAAGTAAGACTGCATCCCTGGCAGTAAAGTAGTTGGCCCCTCTGCTTAGAACCAGAACACACATGGCACTTCTGCATGTGTGCGACAGCAAACGGAGACTCGGAGTCGATGGGCTGAAATATTTCTTTCACGGTCACAACTTTGGCTGCGCCACGTTCCTTGACCACAACCATTGATTCAAAATCTTCATCCGAGTCGAATTCATCGTTCATGCCTTGCATATTCTTCGTTGCCCGAGATGACCGTCGGAGCGGCTCAAATTCAATGTCAGAACCTCCACCAGACGGCCTCAATCGGATGGGCATATGTTTCTTGGCTCGTCTGCGGCTGAGGTGTCTACCTCTTCCGGCTGGTGCCAGATCAGATATCACAGGCCTGAAGTCATCATCGCTAACACCATCCCGAGTTGGCGGATCTTCACGACCTGGTTCAGGGCCATAGTAAGAGGGGTTGTTGCCGCGGGGACGTAATGACCTGGCAGAGCGAGATGGTCTGTCCACCTCGCTGTCACGCTCTTGACCTCGCGTAACGATAATTCTTGACTTTTGCGGTACTCGCCGCGAAGAACGTCGCGCGAATTGCTTCACGGACTGGTCGCTCTCGTCCCCGTCCACATCCATAGCATCAGACCACAGCTCCTCTGGCTCTGACTCGTCAAAGTCAGAGTTACAGTTGCCATCACCATGCTTGCGCTTTCTGGGGTTGCCGGCCATGTTGGCTGTGTCAAAAAACTCGTCCAGAGCAGCTTGCCCGTTGCTCAGCTCGAGGAGTTGGTCGTGTGTTATCTTGAATTTGTTGGTTAGCTCTGAGGGTGTTTGTTGACAGGGAAGAGTAGACATGAAAGTGTAGGAAGAATTGGAAAAGGTGGAAGATTTCAGCAGTGAAAATGGAGCAGAATGTTGCAAAAAGAAGGCGTGTGGAGGAGTGGAAGAGTGAAATGGATGAGCGAAGTTGATGTGCGAGGGGCGGGGTTAACAGTGATTGGAAGCAGCATGTTGTTTGGTCCAGGCGCTGGGATGTGAGAACTTTATGAATAGGGCATGAAGAAGAAAGAGTGGTGAAGATCCTCAGCGACGGTGTAGTAGCGGTATAGTACTAAGCTACCTCGAACAAGTGAAGGCGAAACTTACGGTCTCAAGGCGTCCATCGGTGAACTCGGCATGATAAGCATCGGCATCCTCGACTTGGCTACGAATACGGTCCACTACTTCCGAAAAGACGGTAGAGTACTCGTCTAGCAAGAAATCGGGCAGAGTTGGTAGCTGGATCTCAAATTGGATTGGGTGGGCAGGAAACTCGGTGTTGCTGTCAGAATTCTCCTGCGAGCCTTCTCGATCACCGGGAGATGCCAATTCGTCGTTTTCGTCGGGGTCAAGATTCCATGACATCGAGCTTTCATCGACACTCGCATCCCCGGGAACCGTCCTACTTTCGGCCGTTGCATCGGGTGCATGGCCAGAGTCTTCTTGCTGGGGAATGTGAGGGAAAGCGCCATGCATTGTGTCATCAAAGTCAGCGGCAATGTGCGGATTTTCAGCAATCCCAGCCGCCACCTCAGTGGATTCTCCGCTGTTCAAGTCCTGGTCATCATCATCTGAGGACGCGTCTTCTTTGGGACTGTGAGCATCGGCGCGAACATGCTCTGTTTGAACACTCTCTTCGGCTTGAGAATGTTCCTCATGATTAGGCTCCTTTCCAATATCGTTGTCAACATTGTCTGGGACAATATCAATTTGGGCACCCTTATGAGAAACGTCATTCATGCTGATATCCGACAATGTGATGCCCTTGGCCTCCGCTTGGTCCAGGGCATCACGCGTCAGCCAGTCAAAGGTATCGCCGACATCATCCTGACCTTCCAGGTCGCTCAGGTTGTTCATTGCTGCATATTATGGGTAGATTGTTTCGTTTCATGCAGGGTCGAGCGGAAGGCATTAGCAAATAGATGGAGCAGGTGAGTTGCAATAGTGAATAGAAGTGAGGCCAGGTTGAAGTGCTTCACGTCGCGCTCCACTTAAAGGGCCAACAGGACGTACCTACCTAATATTTTAGCAGCGATTCCCGGCGCGCATTTTACTTCCGCGCTGACACTTGCGCCTCATTGGTTGGCGCGTGTTTACAGTGAGTGGGGCGACAGTTACTGCTTTATTACAGTGCCCTCTGTACTAGGGGTTAGTGGTACTTTTCTTTGGCGTACGTCCTGTCACTTTACACGCGGTACTTGTCGCTAAAAGTGGTAATTCTGTACCGACCGCCCTCCCTGCCCTCTTGGATTCGGCAGAAAACACGCTGCTGCGGAAAAGTTTCATAGGAGCTTTGCGCCACTCAAAATAGCTACTGATCATAGTACCCCGGCAAGAAATACTACCTGGGATTGCTAAAGCTGCTCGCATTATGCAATGAACCTTCTTTCATGCAGCGGTCGTTCCGCTCCCATTCAATCGACCCTATGGCGCGCAGCCCAACTGCCAGTATCCGCCCCTGTCGCAAAAGCCCGACATGCCAGTCTCTCCGCCATCCACCGAGGCTTGCGCCGGTCTGAGAGGATACAATATGGGTCCGCCCGACCGCGGGATGAATCGCTCCTTGATAAGAGCATGAGAGCAAATAGGCGTGATGACTCCAGTCGAGGCGATAGAACCGCCCGCGCAATCGCTGGTGCCGCCTCCCCTCGCCAACAGGCTAAGCTGCGCAAGAAGCTGACTCGCAAGGAGCGCGAGCGCCAGAAGGAACAAGAAGAGGACTCGGGGCGGCAGACGCGCCGCAAAAGGTTTTTGAATCCCGACAAGGAGTTTGGAAAAACCAGCCTCGTCTACCAGCTCAAGCACGGCGTTTTCAAGAACGAAGTCTCCCTCGACAGCCTCCCGCCGCCTGTGCGAGCACGACCACGGGACGACTTTGAATCGGAGCGTCCAATCCGGCGAAACGATTCCCGAGATACTAATGGGCAAACCCAGCCAGGATGGAGTCGACAGTCGCCTGGCCAAGCTCAAACCCGCGACATCGACAGATCAGCTTCGCGAGGGGGACAGGAGCGACGAGGCTCTACTGGCAATCAACCTCGCGACAGCCGGCCACAGCAACGATCAAGCGGAGGCTTCCGCGAAAAACGACCGGATGCCGACAGACACTCGCCTGAATACTCTAGCGCAGCCCGCAAGATGATGCCCATGTCAATCAAGTACACCACAGCCGCTTCACAGTTTCTCTACGGAAGATCCGTCGTCAAGGCCGCGCTGGAGCAGTCCCGACGAAAACTGTACAACCTCTACGTCTACGGCGGCGAGAACCGCGTGGACTCACACTATAACCAGTCCATGATCCGACTAGCAGAGAGCCAGGGCATTCCCGTCACGATTGTACCCAACGACCAGCAGCGACTCATGGACAAGATGAGCACGGGACGGCCGCACAACGGCTTCGTGCTGGAAACGTCGCCTCTTCCGCAGATTCCCGTGACGTCGCTGGGTCAGCTCGAGAAGTCGTCGTCTCCCGCCAACCGCGGGCCTGGCTTCCACGTCGTCCCCGGCTACCAGACGCGCGAGGAGGAGGCGGTCAACGGCACTGACGCCTTTATCCGGCGACCGGGCGGCGACCGCACGCCCAATCCGCTGGTGCTCCTGCTCCACGAGATCCTGGACCCGGGCAACCTGGGCGCGCTCCTGCGCACGGCCAGCTATCTCGGGGTCGACGCCGTCGGCGTCACGCAGCGCGGCTCGTCGGCCCTGACGCCCGTGGTGCTCAAGTCGGCCGCCGGCGCCGTCGAGGAAATGACGCTCTTCTCCGTCGACGCGCCCGCCGAGTTCCTGGAGCGCTCCCGGAGCGCCGGGTGGGTGGCGTACGCGGCCGTCGCGCCCCCCGAGGAGCGGCTCGCGCGCATCCACGGGGGCAAGTTCGTGTCGACCGACGACGTGGAGCGCCGCAGCCCACTCCTCGACAAGCCGTGCATCCTCGTGCTCGGGAACGAGGGCCACGGGTTGCCGCGCCAGGTCAAGGTCGCGGCCGACTACGAGCTGTCCATCCCGCGCGTCGTGCCGGACAGCTGCATCGACAGCTTGAACGTAAGCGTCGCCGGCGCGCTGCTGACGCATGCTTTAATCAAGGGTGCCCTGCCGAAGAAGGAGGCGAGCCCGGTTGATGATATGACGGCGGCGCGAAGGGAGGCAAAGGACGATGAGTCGGAGGTGCTGTTTTAGGCACCACGCATCATCTTCCATGTATTATCAAATTAGACCGCGCACGAACCAACAGCGCTATGTAAATTATGTACCATCAGCCGTGTAATATCATAAATACATATCACGCATTTACTCTCTTGAATACAAAACTACTCGGAGAACTCCAAATAGGCTTGCTATCACATGTTGGCTGTGCGTTTGTTTGACTTATATGGATGCGATCTCCACTGCAGCTCATGTCTAAAAATGGCAACATTCCAGAACAAGCTCCAATCATCCTGCAGCGAGCCACACCATGGACAATCTCCCATCCCGAGAGCAACTTTTCTCAATGATTTTCAACAGTTAATCAATTTGATATTGCAATGATTATCACGATAACAGGCACGCGCTATGCCACCATCATTGACCTGGGCAGTGCTCATCATGGTGGGGGACGCTAAATCACCCCAGCCACCAGGTTTGTTGACTTGATGCCCAAATGCTGGCGCATACTGATTTGTCGGAAGCTGCTCTTTTCTCTCGTCATCTTTGCTGTTCTCTATTTTTCTTCATTATTGCTAAATTATTTCCAACAACTGATCTCACGATACCACGAATTTCTCATCAATCTGGAGGCCAACTGGTAGCTTTCCTCTCCCCCTAGGCCACAACACCCCTGCGCTGGCGCAAACGAACATCCTCCATCTCTACACACCGACTTTGAACTTCTCGACTCCCACACCGAACGACAAGGAGCGGGGAGGAAGGTGCACCACGATACAGCCCGACGCGATGATTCTCCTACCCGCATCACTCCTATCCCTCGCGCTACACGCCTCGCGCTCCTCCGCCACCGTTGGGCGCGCGCCCACCGCCGTCCGCCAGGTCGCGCCCGACGCCGGCGAGAAGATCCTGCGCGAGCACCTCGCCTTTGCGCCGTGGACGTTCCTCGACGCGCGGAACTTCCCCGACTCCCACGATGACAGCTCCCTACCCCGACCGTACCGCCCAGCCCTCGCCGGCCACGATCCCCTGCTGCGGCCCCGGTCCGCGGCCTGCCCGAGCGGCATGAGCGGGTGCGACGCCATCGGGCAGCCCAACAAGTGCTGCCAGGACGGCACCACGTGCACGCGCGTCGACGACGCCTCCGTCGGGGGCATCGCGTGCTGCCCGCGCGGCGCCTCCTGCGGCGGCCAAGTCGGCGCCTGTCCCGCCGACGCCGTCAGCTGCCCGGCCGAGCTCGGCGGCGGGGGCTGCATCGCGGGATACGTCTGGGATACGTCTGCCAGGGCGTGGGCTGCGTGCCCAGCGCCTCCGCCACCACGGTCGTCAGCACGGTGGTCACCGCCACCAGCACCCCGAGCACCACCACCGTCACCAGCACGCGCACCACCTGGGTCGACGGCGCGCCGTCCACCGTCGTCGTCACCGAGATCGTGACGCTCACCTCGTCGCGGCCCCCTGCGACCAGCACCACCACCGTGACCGTCACGGAGAGCAGCAGCAGCAGCGGCACGGTCACCGGCAGCAGCACGGTTACCGGCGGCGCCCCGTGGCGTCCGACCGGCACCGGCAGCAGCAGCAGCAGCAGCACGGAGGACGGCACGTCCACGCAAGAGGGTTGCCCGACGGGCTTCTACGGGTGCCTGGCCACGCACGGCGGCGGCTGCTGCCAGACGGACCGCGACTGCAAGACCACCTCGTGCCCGCCGCAGGCCTCGACGACCATCGTATCCGACGGCAAGACCGTCATCGTACCCGCGTCGGACGTGCCTGCGGAGGCCACGTCGACGTGCGCCGCCGGCTGGTTCCTGTGCGCCAGCGACGCGGGCGACCGGCCGGGCTGCTGCCCCAGCGGTTACGACTGTGGCACGGCGAGCTGCTTCAGCACCTCGGCGTCACAGACGGGCTCGGTGCAAAAGCAGCAGCCCAAGAAGGATGGGGCTGGAGCAAACGCCGTCAGCCTGCTTGTGACATTGAGTGTGGCTGCGGTGTGGCTGCCTGTAATGTTCTGACATTATGATATGGGAAGGCGTGCTGTGTAGTGATGGGCGAGCGTTACGATGTACCAAGACAATAGACAAATGTAAATAGACTGAATCTAGATTGTAAACATGGACAAACATATCAGCACTCAGTCAGGTCACGATGGAATAGGAGACTCATGTGTAGCAGAGATGAAACGCAATTGTATTTTAACCCGGTATTGACTATCAATTTATCGCCCATTACCCATTATTCATTATCCATTATCCATCATCCAGAGCCATCCTTGCCATCAACATCTCAGCACTCCACCACTCTTGTTCTGATTGTTTTTTGCATCGTTTGCAGTTACATTAACAAGAACAGGACGGCAACAACAGTTGCAGCAACCACACCTCGTGCATTCATGCGGCTAGAGACATTCTGGACGATGCTGTGGGTAGGGGTAACAGACGAAGTCGTCTTGAAAGTGCCCGTGGTGCTTGTCTTGTAAGTGCTAGTGCCCGTGGTGCTGGGCTTGTAGCTCGTGGTCGTGTGCATGCCAGACTTCTGGGGGTAGCTGGAAGTGGTGCAGCCAGTAGTCTCAGAGACGACTTTGACGGTGACGTGGCTCGAGCTGGGCGTGTACTCGGCAGGCTTGGGGTAGGAATGGGAAGTAGAGGCAACTAGGGGGGCAGAGGGAGAGCCGTACTGCTCGAAGCTGATGCTGGACATGGTGGACATGGTCGGTTTCGTGTAGGCCGGAGAAGTGTATACCGGAGAAGTGTAGACCGGAGAAGTGTAGACCGGAGAAGTGTAGACCGGAGAAGTGTCGGAGAAGTGTAGGGCCGGAGAAGTATAGGCGACAGCTGGAACTGTGCATTCCGCGGGGGTCGAGTAAGGATTGACGCCAGCGGTGGCGAGGCCAGAGGCAAGGAGGCTGACGAGAATCGGTTTGGTCTGCATGATGAAGACTTGGAATTGGATAATGGAATGGTGAAAGCGGTAGAAAGTAGAATGGAGTGATAAAGCTGTGAAGAAGCTAAGACGATGGAAGCAAAAGATGCGGATAATGAAGCACGAGAATGGATGTTGTAGTATGAAAGAAGAGGAGAGGGAATCGAGAAGGGGGCGAGCTATTTAAAAACCCCTTTTCAGGGTACCGAGTTCCTTCCTTAAAACCCTGAGGACTTTCCATTTGTAGGAGGCGAAGAAGAAGAAAGAGCGAGAGGCACCTTCCTAAGGTGGTTCCACGGCAAACGGCCGAGCCGATAGCCAACAAGTCGCAAAACGGGCAAGGCACAACACTGCCAGCATCGTCATTCTGAGTACAGAAATTTCTCATCAATTCATACTAATCATTTCTCAGAGCTCGTAGTGGGGAAACATGACGAGCTATGCTTGCCATGGTTCGTCTATAAACGTGTACTGTGATTTCCATCACGGAAGATGCATGTAGTGGAAATGTCAGGTACCTCGCCAAATGGGAGATTTTGTCCCCAGAAAGAAAAGAAAAATAAGCAAAAGAAAAAGCAAGTATTTGGAGAACAAAAAAAAAATAAGAAGCCTCCCATGTAAAGTATCGCCCGCCGGTTTTTAAAATCGTTTGCAGCGATCGCTGTTTTCCAACTTCTTCAGAACCCCGACCGCATCAGCCATGAGAATACTGCGACCGCCAAGATTCTCATGTTCCAAAGCTTCACGCGCGAGCCCAACCACAGCTTGCGCGTTTCGTCGACCGGCAAGTCGCTGAACTTGAGCCGGCTGCATTTTCGCAGCGGTCTGAAGCCACTGGAGAGCAGATGGCCGCGAGTTTCTGTCATTCCGCGTGCTAGTTCCATCCCTGCCAATATGACCAAAAGCCCAACAAATAAGGGCACACACGTAAATGCCCCAATAATCCGAGATGTCGCCGCAAAAGAAGGTAGATGCTGTCACGGTTCCCTTGTCATCACATCCGATGCCGAGGAAGACAACCAGAGCTCGAGCAGCAAACGTGGCTGCAGCCGCCGCGCTTCCAGAGTCTCGCCATCGGGAAAGCTGGCTCTGCTGCGTTGTAAATGACTGTAGGCGTAGGACCTTTTTGTTGAACACCCAGCTGTCACCTGATACAGAAAGTACGACATGCAGCGGAGTAAAATGGAGGGCCAGGTATGTGTTGGCAACAGCCGACTGCGCAAACATTGACAAAACGTTGATCTGGCTCAGGTCGACTCCAGATATATCTTGGATCAGGTCGACTCGGGTTGGATTCTGCCGCGAGGGAAGCTGGAGAGAATATGCAGCAAGAAGAACCGACGCAGCGAACGGCGAAGTCTCTTGTACACCTAATGGCGTTAGCCCCTGAGAGATTGCCGCGCCAACACTGAATCTTGGGCACTGAGGGCTCAGTTTCGACCATGATTTCGACGTGGAGGCTTCCCAGAGCTTTTCCGAGGCGCTGAGAGGAATAGCCAATGTGTCAGGCGAGGAGTAGTCTAGCTCTGGAATAGGCAATGGAGCGTGTTCGAAGTAACGCATGGAATGGATGTCGAGCAAGAAGCAAGAAGCAAGTATTCGTCGCTTAGTCTCGTCTTCAACCCAAGCATCCCATGTATCCGGCCGGCCATAACCTGCAGTGTCCGAGAGCTGCGCATCATAACAGTGAGCCTACTCAGCCGGTTAGCCCAGTCTAGAGGTGAAACCCCATATCCATCAAGGTACCTTTTTATAAAGTTGCTTAAACAAGTCAGATGTTTCGAACGAGTCTTTCTCACGTCCCCGAAAGCGCATGTAGTACTCCGAGAGTAGCACAGCTTGCATTATTTCGACCGGCCATTGACTGGCACCGGAAGCCTGTCTGTGTTAGCAAGTATTTGATTTCTTTGGCTTTTAAATGACTAACCACTTCAAGTTTGCTCGCTGCATGGAGGTGAAGCTGGCTTCCGTTGACTCTATGATCTTGGTGCCCAAGAAACTGTGTCGCAACCGCAGCCATCGTGTACTTCAACGTATCAAGCACCTCGGACGTGCTCTCGATTGCCTTGTCGAATGTTGGTCGGTGGATAATCGGGTACATGGGATGCACCTTGTTCCAATACACCTCGAGATAAACCGGCACAGCCTCGCGAACACTCTGACTAAGTGCTAGAATAGCCATGCTTTTTGTTGCGAGATGATCAACAAGCCCCGTGCTAGGTGGAGAAGCAGAAAGTTGTGGTGATATCATCCGATCTTGGAACACTGTCGGCGGCGCGGCCACGAGGACATCAGCAGATCCACCTGCACCAAACGGCACAGGCAGGGTTCCAATGGCCGGACTTCCGAGAAGAGGCTTTGCCGTCTCTAAGGACTCGTCCTCGTAGCCGGAAATGAGAAACGTGGATCCAGTAGAAGATGCAGTAAAATCCATATCATAGCTAATAGAGGAAAACCTCCCCACATTCAACTGTACATCTGGCGACACAGATAATCGTATACCGGGAGAATTCCAGTCAGCACTGGAGGATCTCATGCGTTTAGATTGTTCGTTAGAACTGTCAGATGGCGAAGAGTGGGTGCTTCCGGTTGCAGATGATGGCATGCCTGGGCTGATAGACTGATCGCCATCTGACATGTAGAGGTCGTGGACTGCTTCTGAGGTCCCATGGCCGATGGGCTTTTCGGCATTGAAATCGTGCGTAGTAGCATCCCTGGGGGAGGATGCTCCTTGTGATCTCGGAGTAGAGTCGGCAGAATAACGACTCTGAGGGCTCTGTGCATAGTACTGCTGGGGGGTGGCAGGTATTCGGGGTGGGGGCAGTGTGTGGCCAAAGGGTCGGTTAGTAGAGCTCCAAGTGCTGTGCCCGGACGTCTCGTGCCTAGGCGTGCTGGAGATGGAACTGTGTGGCGAGTTTGACGCGCCATATGACCCCATTTGCATCACTCGGGACGGCGACGAACCACCAAAGTTTTGACCTTGTCGTCGAGGGGAAGAGCTGTGAAGCCGTCGGTCCTCAGAAGCCAGCCGCTCATCCTGCTCGTGCCGCTGCTGGTGTCTTTCGAGCAAGTCTTTGCGATGAAAGACTTTGTTGCAGCCCGGGACACAGCAAGCCAGCTCGGGAGGTTGGTGGCTGAGCTGATGTCGCCTGAGATGCTCGGCGCGGGTAAATGTTTTCGGGGGACGGCACATTTCGCATGTATGTACCGGAATGCCCTTCTTGGCTCGGCTAACCCTTCCAGTTATCGGGGTCAGTTTGACGCCAGGCTCGTTCATGGGGCCTCCTGGTATTATTGGACGCATGTCATGCCCAGCACCATACGGCTGACTGTGCGAATATGAGTAGCCCAAGGGCTCGTTGCTCCCATGTTCCCGGCGGCCTGGGGGCGGAGATAGGTGCTGCTGAAGATGACGGGGAGCAGAGGACTCCGACGTGTGCGAGTAGGTGCTATGTGGCGAAGCACCTCGAGAGTAGCCGGATGGTGATGTGTGAGTATGTAGTGATGGGTCGGACGAGGCGGGATAGCTCGAACTGGGTAGCGGAGAGGAATGCGGAACCGGTCTGGACGACGAGCTGGGGGGCTGAGAGTCGTCATCGACGTTGTTCATGATATTCCTCAGGCTGGCCATGGTGAGCGAGTCACGGAGCGCGATATCGACTGCCCAAGATGGCAAGAACGAGTAAGCCTCTGGGCCAGCTCCCAACAACGACTTGTATATTAGCCAAACAGCAAGCCGCCACACAAAATACGCTGCCCAAGTATGCTTTATAATAATGACAGCAAATAAACGTTCTCGTATCGGTGAAAAGAAAGACGGCCTTGCGTTGGTTGGTTTTGCTCAGCAGGTAGTGGAGGTGACTTCGAGGTTGGCTTCTGCCAAAACAGCGGTTGGTTACACAGAAATTGGTTCAGCCGCGTGTTAGCAGCAGAAGTGGTGGCAGCGCAGAGCCGGCGTCGTATACAAATTCCATCTGAGGGAGGGGGTCAGTCGAAGAGATGAAGCGAAGGACCGGCGACGTCCTTCAATATTACAGTGAATAGGTGAAGAGGAAGTTATCCCAGGCTGAGTACGTAGGGAGGAGGAAGAGTTACGGTGTTAGCTAGAATGCGCAGCGAAGGTGTATGGAACCGCCGTGACCCACGCCAATTTGGACCACATTGGCGGGAGCTGAGGCATGGGGTCCATGTACAGAATACATTGGCGGCGCCAGGCAAACCCCAGAAGGCTTGGGCGTTGTTGTGATTTGACGTATAAAGAGCGTCAGCACGGGCAGCCACAATGGATGCCAGCGGGCAGCGGGTCGCAGGCAGACGGCAGCTCAAGTGCGCGAGACAGACTGCCAACGAACATGGCTGTGTCCCAGTGACAAAGGTTGGGGAGAGCAGCAGGGATCGCTTTGCCAAAGGCTGGGTGGGGGAGGAAGATGTCGGACACGAAACACGCCCAAAAGGGCCGGGGTGAGAGGGTGAGAGGAGGAAGCTGGCGAGGTGTGGCGGGAGTGGACTCTGCACGCCAAAGCTGGAAGCCTCGTCTGAAGAGAGCCCACCACGTGTTGACTAGCCCTACATCAAGGTTCATGAAGGCGAAGACAAAGTGAACACGGGAGGCTGCAGATGGAGCATGACGTTGCGGGAGAGGGAGATGGGCGTAAGGGAGCGGGCGGAAGAAAGAATGATGGCTCTGGCTTGGTTAGTGACAGGTGGTGGACGGCAGTAGAGAAAGAAGGGTGTACGATGTGTCCATTGTCGAGGACCTGTCTACAAGATGAGTTAGCCCAAAAGGGTACGTTAACGCGCGCTGGGCGCACACCCACGCTGGGCTCGGTTGGTGGGCAGAGCCCGCAATCGCGCTGCAAGTCCTGTGGTGGTTGTGGTGTTGTACCTCGGAGTGGTGGTTGCCCTGGGTTCGGCTCAGCCCTCGAGGCCAGCCCGGCCGGATTGTGTCCGGGCGACGGAGCTGAGGCGACGGAATGGTTTGCTGGCAGCGGAGCCGTGGTCGCGGGAACAGCCCAAAGGAGATAGCGTGGACTCGCAGGTGATGCGCGCTGCGTGCTGGGTAGAGCAGCTGGCGTCCAAGAGCTGGCAGGGGCGTTGGGATGTGGGTGTGGGATGGGATGTGGTGGAGGAACTGGCGTCGGTGCGCTTCGTGCTATGGTACTTTGGCAGACGGATTGGCTGGAGGGCGAGGGTGCGATGGAATTCTGGCGCGCGCCCAAGTTTGCCGGGTCCTGGACGAGTCAGAAGGGTGCAGAAACAAGTGGCATGGAGCTCGCTACCTACTCAAGAGCCAAGGACAGGGCCATGCAAAGCCATTCATGCAATCTAGAGATTGTTGGTCGGTCTTCGGCAAACCCTTGGAACTGGGGCGGACAGGTGGGCGCTGCATGTTGAATGCACTATCCCTGCGGCGAAGACTGCGAGATGAGACAATGAGCGGCGGGGCAGTACGAATGATAAATGATACATACATACATTCGTGCGCACCAGTCCGACTAGCCTTTAGTTCTGTAGCCTGTCAGTGTGATGGAGCGCCGCGGCCCATTGCTGCGGATCTCACTACGTAGCGACGCATGGCGGCGAGGATCATATAGGGAGCGTTGCTGGGAATCCCCGTGACAATGGCAAGCTGTGCTAGAGACGTGCAAATTATTTCATACTGCCTGTCTCGAGAGACCGTGATGTCGCAGATGTACTGGCAAAGGTTTGGACACAAACGCAAACGAGGGTATTCGGAGCGCAAGTGCCAATGCCAGCTGCCCTCCAGTGAACCGTTGGGACGAAAGTATGTTAGGGAGGTACCAATGTATGTATGTATGTATGTATGTACCAACGTCCGTCCTGCGACAGGCAAATTGCCGAATACAGTGATACCGCCCGCCCTGTGCCAACAATTGGGGGGTGCCAGCCTCATCTATAGGTACACACAGGCTCCCGCCACGCGCCGGTCCGCGTAAACAAAACAACAGAAGCCCCGCCAATCAAACAGTATTGCTAATAAGCATTCAACGGATGTAGGCTCCCGAAGAGAGTGCAAACGAACCACTAGGTTGCATCATCTCATGCGCTTTGAAGCCATGAAATGCACACAGGCACGCAGGCATACATGGACACAGGCATGCAGGCTCTAAAAGACCAGGCAACGACTAACAAAGCAGGCCAACTGTAATCCAGAGCAGAAAGGGGCTTGTACCTACGGAGTACGGAGTACCAGAGAATATTTAGAGTACAAAATAGTTACGGCAGAACTGATACATGCAATTAATATTCGTACACTGACCACATCTGCGGCATTCGGCTGCTGGGGTAGTACCCTTGTTGGTGTCGTGCAAGAATGGGGGCACACAATTCACTGGGACCTAACAAGAGACCTGCTGGGTCGAGCCCAAACCCTGTGCTTGGCAAAGTCTTTGACGGGTTGAGTAACTACCCATTCGTACATAGGTACTCCGTAAAACAGGTGAAATGGTGGCATGAATCAAAAGAGCCGGCGACAACGGCTCGCTGTGGAGGCATGGCGGACGAGGCTCCCTATTAGCCCGCTCCAGGCGACAGCCAGCCAGCCTGATTCAAGACAAGCCAGCGTTTGGATAAACATCGTTGGCTCATGCCTCTTCTAGCGTCGAGACAAGTCTCACTGCTACGTCTCTCCACTAGGGGGGCAGGTGCCAATAACGGCTGGCCGGCTACCTTGCCTGACAGTAGTCGTCTGCCAGTGAGTTGGTGTTTTGCGAGATGCCAAGCCGTCATGGCCTCGATTCTCCTGTCCTCTGCACACTGCATCATTCATCATCACACCGCCAACCCCCAACCATTACTTTCCGCGCCACAATTCCTAACCAACCTGGTTTATCAACTAACCAACTTGTCTGATAGCGTGCTGACCAGGTAGCCTGCCATTATGAAGCATCTTATCACCAACCCTTGACGGCGTTGGCAACTCGACGCCTCGACCAGCTCGTTTTCCCCCTAGCGACAAATGCAAGTCAGAGATCGGCAACCGAATCAAGATGAAGCACGCACGCCGCGGCCAGCACGCATAAGCCCGCCGCCCCCAACAATGCTCTCTTCTCTTCTGCCCTGGCTACCTCCTGCCTGGCCCTACCCTTCCCTGCCCTGTTCGCGCCTTGTGGCGCAGCCATGTTCTGAATTCCAATGCCTCGAACAAGGAGGGAGGGACCTCCACCCCAGCTACATATCCAGCTCTTTCATTAGTGCGGGGGCCACAACATCCGACTCTTGGCCCTGACGCTGGCTGTCCGTCTAACTACCTATGAACCTTTGACCCTTTCCGCGCTCCCCCTCCCCCTCCTCTCCTCAGCGGGAGGGAGCCACAGCATCGACCAAGCCCGAGTCGTTCCCCAGCACCTTCAACCCATCCATATAGCTGGGCGCCCACGCGGCGCGCTCCATACGAGTCACTCGTCTACTCGCCAAACTGCCCAAACCGGCTGCCCGTTACAATCTGCGGTGCGACGGCACTGACCGCCACTCTTGCTGCTCAAAGAGCCCCAGGGTCTGGTCCGCCTCACGAATGGAGCTCATTTGACTGCTCCTCGCTGCAGTAGGCCAACTTTGACAAATTTTGTTGGTTACACGGCAATAACTTAGTTGCTCAGTGCGGAGTCAGCTTCACGCAGCCGCAATGCAAGATGCAGGCATCACTCGGCGTTGGGGTCAACGGATCCCTCCAAATGTCCGCAGCATCTGCAGATTAGCCAAGCTGCTTTAAGGAAAGTGCCCGTCGTCCTTATCAACAGAGACGCCTCGCTCTCACTGGTACCAGAGAGTTGTCATCCGCTCCTCGCTCGCCCGTCAAAATCCATTATTAGCCAAACAGGCTGTTATGTCGTCGAGCCGTCGTTGGCTCGGGCTCCAGCACCGGACTGTCGGGATCCGCAGCCAGCAAACTGCGCTGCAGCTTCGTCTCCGCTACTAATAAACGACTTTTCTGAGCTGTAACAAAACCTGCACCGACGCCACTGCCAGAGTGGACAAACGCAATCGAATCGGCACCCACGCAGTCAAGAGCCATCGAACAACTCCTCCTCCCTTGCGCGCGCCCGCTTCAGCCCATGCATCCAGCATGCAGCAGCTAGTTGGCAGCAAACCTTTGCAGAGACTCGCACAAGGCAGCCCCAGCACGTCATGGCCTCGCGCATATATGTAGGTAGCAAATTTGACCCCGCCGCTGCCCTGCTTGGACACTGTCCAGTTGGCCGTCGACCTGCGCATCTGCATCCCGTCACTTGTCACAGACAGTTTTTAGCTCGATGCAGCAGCCTCTTCGGAGCAATCAATAAATGGGAATTATTGTCAAGCTGCAGCTTGCCGACGGACGGTTTACCGCCGACGCTGTCTCTCTCCGCCAACCACTCAGGCAAAGACACGATAGTTAACATGCCCGACACCATTCAAGCAACCCCGATCATGCCACCCGGTGGCCGTATGTAACTCGACTGCATAAGTAACATCTCATACTGTCTCCTCATGACAGGCAGACAGGCACTCGCGCCTCCTGTTCACCAAGCATGCTATGCAACTAACTATGGCACGGCGATGGCTCAAGCTGAAATCGCGAATCTCTCCCCAGCTATTAAGCATCTTGTTCACAGCCGTTCGCCTCGTTTACCCTTTCAGCTACAACATATCGGCCCCGCTCATAGGTACTTGAGACGGGCGCGTATGTCGGTCTCGGCGGGTATCGACCCAACGACCCTATACAAAGTCATGTTTGTGGAGATGAAGACCCGCGTGCTCTTGTCGTAATTGAGAGTCAAACCCACGAATCATCAGGCAGCGCTGAATCGGTTCATTTCTGGTCAACACGGCCGGTGGCTGAGGCGCTGGGAACGGTTTCCACGTCGTCAGCGGGGTGCATTGAATAATGAATGGTATCGTGCAGAATGCAATCACACGCCGGTAGCCCGGGCCGTCATTTCGGCCCTGTTCCCTAGGCCAGGGCCACAGCGCTCATTAGCACCATAGATATTCTTGGCTTTCAGTTGGGCGTATCCGTTGCGGCGTATCCTTTGTCACTTCCGCATCAGGCTCGGACAAGCCCATCGGACGCCCTTCTGCCTTGTCTGACACCATGACAGGCAAGAGCCCCATGGCAACTAGTTAACAAGTTCCTCTCCGAGCACCCTGTCAGCTTGGTTTCAACTAATCAGCGGGATGTAACCCCCCGATCGCAACGAGAAGGGAACGATGCACCCAATAGCCTAATAACTGTCCATCGGGCGCTATAGTTAGAGAATAAGGTCTGTTGCTTACACCGTTGAGGGTGGGCTACGAAGGCAGTTGCAATGTGTCACGCCTGTGCCCTTCCAATAAACAACTGGTTTGCCAATGCGCCGCTTCCAGGACATCACACAAGCCGCCACTGCCCTTGCAGGCTATACGGGTGCAGTATGTACGTTGGTCGGCTCGGTAAATTATCATCTCTCGTTCCCAGGAACAACAGTTCAGTTCACAGGTTGCAGAGCCAAACACAACGTCTCCGAGCAGCCTCAAAAGGGGACCAAAGACGCCCATTTCGGACAGAGTCATGTCCGCGAGGCTTATCCAAACCACCTACCACCTTCAAAAAGGATGCCACAAAGAAGAGAAGGGGAAAAGGCCTCAAGTGGAGAGTAAATGGGGGTTCCTCGCCATTTTTTTCTTGATTCTCTTATTCCGCGCCGGTAGTGTGTGTCTTGGTGTGGTGTGCCTGGAAAGGCGCTTGCAGCTGAGTCCTCCCGCGCCCCTCCACCAACTTGTTATGGGATGGCCATCTTGTGTCACATCATCTCTCTAGCCGAGCCCTTTTTTTCCTTCCAGTTCCTCGATGCATGCTTGTAAGCCAGGTTTGAAGATTGATGCTTCTTTGAGTCTGAAATAGGGCAGAGATGAGCGTAACGCGGGGATGAAGGCGCACGATGACGGACAATCTCAGTCACATGAGTGGTAGTGTAGGCAAGGCTGAAGCGGAGCGCCGACAAGCCTTGTACACTGGAATTCCCTCTTTTTCACTGCTGATCATTTTTAGTTTGTTTAGTTGGGTTCCTTCTTTTTTCATTCTCGCTTTCTTCAACGTTGAAAGGCTCGTTCATTATTCAGGCAGTACAGGTGACAGGCAGGTGTAAAAAAGGTCCCACGACACACAGACAGACACCGCAGCCCAGCTGGAGCGGCTGGGCTGATGCGGCTGAGAGGAACTACTGGCACCTTGCCTTTTTAGCTTTGTTTTAGAGTAAGCCATAGTCTTCGGGAAATGCAAAGGTGGCCGACAGACGTCATGAGGCTAGCGAAGAACTTGGCTAGATATCACTTTTCCGTGCACATTCATAGGAGGAAGACTTCCGTTGCATATTCTAGTGTACGAGGACTCGCTACCAAATTAATACTCGAATCTTTTTCGCCCCCGCCGCCTTCTCTACCCCGCAATTTCGAAGCTGGCCAGGTATGCCTGGGAAAGGTGAGCGAGGCAAATGGTTGGGGGTTGTGCATTGGGGGGAAACATTTGCCGAACCAATAAGTTATCGGCTATTGCTTTTTTCGGTTTCGTCGTCGAGTTAGCCTGGTTTATATGAAGCCGAAAAAAGTCGCGGATTGACAACGGCAGGAGAGGCTGAAAGAAAAAAAAGAAGAGAAAGCCACTCATTTATGGTGCTGTTCATCCAGGGAACTTTTCTTGGCAAGGCCAAGAACACGCACACCCCCCTCATCTTCCCGGTTGTTCGGGGGGGGAGGGGGAGCTGTTCGGATGGCGAAGGAGATGGGATAAAACGAGGATCGTGCCATCTAGATACCACCACCACCACCTCCTCCTCCTCCTCCTGCTACTGCTGCTGCTGCTGCTGCTGCGCATCACCAGGTATGCATGGCGAGCTTACTTGGGAAACACGGAACAATGAATGACTCGCCTGCAGGATGATGCGACTCAATGTCTCTGTACACACACACACAGAATATCCCGACTCTTGGCGCGGGCTCCCTCCCATTCGTGATCAACATCGCTTACAACGTACCCGAGACTAAAACTGTGCGTGCGCTCGTGCATGCGCGTGCATGCGTGTCCAATTCGCTCGTTCAATGAAATGTAGCAGTATAAGTGTTGGACAACGGTGTTCGTAGAACCGGCTGGCATCACATGGCACAATAGACACACGAAAAGCATGTGAATATCCTGAACTTTGTATTTCCCTGTGCGGCAGCGTTACGACAAGTCGAAAGAAAACAAGAGTCCAAGCTCAAAGAAGAACAAGTCAGCCCCAAAATACAAAAGAGGGGCCTTGTCCAGGCAAGCTCCCCCAAAAACACAAAAAACCCTGAAAAGAAACGGTTCTTGACGCCTCAGAACTCCATAGACCGCAAAGAAAGAGATTCCCTTCAAGAGGTGTTAAAGAGCGTCTTTTCGAGTGACCTTTCCCATATCGATTAAAAAAGAAATACAAATGGCAGACATGGATCATCCCATCCCTATGCGTTCAGAAAGAAAAGGAAGGTCGCATGTGCGGTGAGGAGCGCAGTGGCCTCCAACAAGCGTCCCGGTGGTCGTGCGGACTACCGGGTAGGCAACGATGATATGAAGCATTCCCATATTGACAATTCCATGCCAAAAAAAAAGGGAGAGCTTTGCGCAGTGCTCACCGAGGAGACTGGAATAAAACAAGGATGCAGAGGAGCTGAATGAGCTGTCAAAAAAATCATGTACTTCGTCTCTCGAGACGGAATTATGCTTGGGCACCTGCCCTTCGTGTCAGGAGGGCTCAACGAATTAAGCCTTGGTCGCGCCGACCTTGGTTGGCGTGGGAGAGACAATATGGCTCTGAGAAGCCTTACGGCTGCGGTCAGCCGCCTGCTCGTCGCTCTCCTCTGAGTCGTCGTCGCTGGGCGGTCTGGCATCGCGCACGGTGCGGCGGTTTTTGGTCATCCAGGAGCGGACGCCGCCGACGAGACCAAGGGCGTATCCCGTGACAAACTCCTTGGAGTTGGAGGCGCCAGGGGTCGTGGGGGATCGGGCCAGGTCGCTGGAGCTCTGCGTGAAGCGGGCAGGGCTCTGCGGGCGGCTGGTAGGCCAGAATTGGCGCAACTCACGGCTGAGCTCCTGTCCAGTGCTGGTCCAGTTGTTCGTGATGTTATCGCGGAGCTCCTGGACGTGGCGCTTGATATCAAGCTCGTTCTTCTTGAGCCAGCTGACGTTGAGCTCTTGACGCGAAGTGCCGCGCTTGAACTGGCGGCTAATGTACTTTTCGTAGTCGCGGACGATGCGGGTAATGAGGCCTGTGGTGCTGACACCCTCGGTGCGCTGCGTAACAAGGAACTTGCCGGCCTCCTTTATAGGCTGATAGATATCGTCGCCTTCGTCGGCGCCGTAGGGGAGGTCATCGTGGGCTACGTAATCAAGGCGGTGCTCCTCGAGAAATTCGCGCGTCACGATCCACGGGCAATCTTCAATCACCTCGTCAACCCACTTGCAGTGGCGGAGGGACTCAGCGCGCTCCTTGGCAGACATGACAGTCAGGCCCTTGCGGTTATGCGTCTCGACGTCGCCGGTGACACCGACGACGAGGGTCGTGTTGGGAAAAGCATTCTTGGCCTGCTCGAGCTGGCGCATGTGACTATGGGGGAATTAGCATGTCGCACTTCGAGTTATTCATAATGAACAGGGAAGCGTACCCAAGGTGAAAGAGATCGAACACGCCGTCGGCGTAGACACGGACGGCCCGGCCAACGGGAGGAGAGTTGGTTCGGTAGCCGCCGGCGGGGTGGACAATTTCGCCGATTGGAGGAGGGGCCATTACCTCAACGTCTTCGTTATCTATGATATCAAGCTGGTTAGATAATGTGTACTCCATCGCGGCGGTCCCGTTTGAAGGGATCAGGTAATCAGTGAACCTACCAGAGCCAGCATTATCCTCGTCGCTCGGAGCGTCGACAGCTCGTCCCGAGTTGGCCCGCTGCCGCTTAGGGTGAGGGCCACCGTTCTGAGTATGAGGAGCTTCCTCGGCAGCAGCAGCCTGGGCCTCGCTCTCAGGAGAAGCGACGCCGGCTCTCTTGCGCTTGCTAGCGGCGGACGAAGCAGATGCCATTGCGATGGATTGTCGTGTGATGTGTACAAAAAGAAGATGTGCGTTTGCCGAGGAGCACTGTCTCTGCTACGGCAGCAGGGGCGATTGGCAGTTGCAAGGAGGCTCGTATCGGGGGAGGAAATCGAACCTGGCTGAACCACGCAACAAGATGGAAGCAGACGAAGAAAGGGATGAAGGAGTGTCGCGTGACCGGGTCGGACCAGGTATTAAGAAATCGATAATCAGGAGAGAGCAAGACTAATCTAGCTGGGTAGGCGAACGACGGTGCTGAGCTTGTGGAACTGGCCTAGCAGGGCGAGCCAGAAAAAAAGTGGTGCTATTTTGAGGTTCAAGGGGGCGCGTCATTTACAGTGGAGAAGTCGTGGCTGCGCGCGGAGGATGGCAGATACCTAGAGACGCAAGGCGCTTTGGTGAAATCGTAGGTACCTCCTAGGCATAGTCGTGGCTGGTGGCAAGCCGCTTTCTAACGTGGATTGCTTGTACTCGCTGGTGGAGCGAGCCGTCTCCAACACGAAGGCTGCAGACTGCAAAATTTCAATAATTCAGCTGATGCAAGAGGGGGGGAGGGGGTCAATTCGGCAGCAACCTTCTTGAATCGAGGAGATTGTTGAAAAGTAGATAGCTACGAACGATGATGCGTTCTTGATTCCTAATTGCTGCGCTGCGGTTTGATGTCATTACTTCGCCTGATCGTCGAGAGCTACAGAAAACCTTGATTTCCTCCTGCTCGTCATGGTAATGGCTAACCTCAGAGCAGGGTTTGACACACACTCAAAGAATACTTCCGAATTTAGTCCAGCTCCAGGCAAGACCAGCCCAACACATCCACCATTACTATTGTGCACTCGACTGCTGCATTCATCCGACAACTGGCAGCTGGCAGCATACACTCGAGATAATGTTTGAAGTGTTGATACCGATCTGCGCCCCGTCTGCCGCAACGCGAGTTCTCGTATTGCCAGTGGGCATTCCTCCACTCCCACTGACAATCTTCGAGGGAGCGCTCCCCGAGAGCAAGTTAGGGCTTCCTTCTTCCATGCCCATCACTACTGCGGCTAGTCCATTCCGCTAATCAAAGGCGAGATGTCTCGTACCAGCTAGCTAGACCTGTTCCTGGTCTGGTCTAGCGAAACACCTTGAAGATTGAGCACGCGAGCAACAAGTGCACGGAGTCAAGACCAGTCCTTGCTCATCTGTGCAGAGGTTTACTTGCCAGGAACACTAATCCCTTATTAGCGAGTCCATTTTATGTGCTTCGGATTGTAACAATGCCGTGTCATCGCCCTACCGGTACCCCCGGACAGGACACAAGACGCGGCGAGCGCGGCTTGCGGGACCGGGGTTGGAAATGGTGTTCCTTCCGCCGTGTCCGGGTGTCCTGGCTGCAATTGCGGCTTCTGCAACTTCTTAATTGCGAATTTAAAGCCTGGAGTTGGACTACAGATTAGTAGATCCAAATTTGGTCGTCACAGTGGGCGGTTGTCTCATCACAAAATCTCAGCCACAGTGTATAAAAGTCGTGAAGTCTCAGGCGACATGGACGGGAGAGGCTCTCAAGAACTCCTTGAATACTGGGTAACTAGAGCTCTCGGCCCGCAGCTGCCCTCGTCTAATAATGTTTCCAGCCTGCTCCGGTGAATATTGGAACACAGGCAAGCCACCTCCTGGCGAGTCGGCTTGTTTTGACAAAGATTTTTAGCCTTTCCCAACGTAGATTTGACCACTCGTCAACTCGTTGTTTAAAAATCCGGCAATGTCAGCTCGTACATGCCTGGAACTAGGTATCCAGCCCATGTTCGAGGGTTGAGGCCAATCAACTCCAGGTCCCCCGGATGGGATGGGCTCATTTCCCGGGGTAGCTGAGTGCAACGCCACATGCTAGTTGTCTGGATGGTCTGGACTTGCTGGAGAGATTAAGATGCACTGGTTGTTCCCGGGCCGCCTAATTAAGCTTAGCTACTGTCGTGCATGGACTGGTAGACAAGAGGAAGATGGATCAGCTGGGCGCGCCATTGATCCCAGCCTGCTGTCGCGTGCTGATATGCCTATTTCTGCGAGGGCTTTTGTTAGTTATAGTAATTCATATGGATAGCGATTTGACTAGTTAACTAGTTCACGTAGTACCTAGGTTATGGAAGAGGAGAACGCCGACACAAGCACTGCAGTTTATAACGGTGACAGTCGCCCACATTTTAGGTAATTGCCTGCAGCCGAGCCACGTAGAAGAGTGGTTTTCAATTCAGCCGCTCACCTGCAGCCGACTCATCAATTTCAGGTACATTACGGTACCCATGAATTGCCAAACCTTCCCAAGGAATAAAAGGGGGAGGCTATGTGGCGAAGTGATGTGAGTGACAACAATCGTGACACGAGGTACTTGGTACGGAGTATCGTGTCCCCGACATGGCGCGTTTGGCCGCGCCAAATGGCCTCCAAGTATAAATTATTATATCTTGCCGACACTCTCAGCCCTGTAGGTCAGAAAGGAACGCAAAAAGTCAACCCAACTAGAAACGCCGCAACAGGTGCTAGCTCCAAGCTATTCGGTCCCCTGCAACGATGACGCTGTATGTAAAGCTTACCCCTCACTGGCTGGCCTGGCTTTCGAACGTTACCTCTCGAAGACATGCCACGCCGCCAATGGATGCCACGGCCTCGCTATTCTTGTTCGCACTGTGCTGCCGAACAACCCGGTCGATATATATGTGTTGCAATCTTGGCGGCGCATCCAATCCAACACCAGAGGTGCCTGGTGGTGCGCGATAAAATCTGATTGCTGCACTGCGCTGGGGGCGGAGGCATTCTACTGTATGTACTACAGTACATAGGCGGCCGCACTTCAGTGCCAGGGATATGGGCACTGCAGGCACAGCAGAGCGACTGTTGATTTTAGTACCTGGGAGGTGCTGTAATGCATGAAGCAGCGCACTGCAGGGCAGATCCGTCAGCCTCGCTGCGCCTGGCTGTGCCCGTTGCTTTGCCTCATCCCGGGTACTTTATCTCATTTATTATTACCACAGCAAGGATCGAGCGACTGCGCCTTGCAAGCTGCGGGACAATTTCCACTGTCCGTTGGACTTTTTAACTGGCATGTGGTTCCATTGAGGGGTCCCTTTCATGTTCGTACTGTGCAACAGCCACTGCCCAGCTCGGCGTTGCCACTGATGAAGAAACCCCGCCCCGCTAAGTCGTTTCGGTGGAAGATCCCGTTGCGTACTGTGCAAATCGCCTCCCTAGCACGGTACCAGTGCCATGGTGGCATGTGTCGTCACCGACTCTCTGCCAAAGCTGAGAGCTCTAATAATATCGCTTATCCTCGCATAGCCCTCAACGCCTCGTTTTACTCCTACGCTTTCTCCTTCATTCCCGTTACACGAACCTGCGACCCTCTAATCCTTCTTATACCAGTCCCTCGCCATTTTACAGCTGTGCATGACACCCACCATTCCGCCATCGAGTAGCAAGCTTTAGGCCAGTTCATCGCAGCGATGGGTCGTTTCAAGAGCGATAATGGCGGCTCGACGGCCGAGCCCGCGACTGGACTGGCTCTGAAGGTCGTCGTTATGAAGGTAGAGCTGCCAACCAAGTTTTGAATCCAACAGGGCTTTGCTGCCTTTTCAATTCTACGGACGCTGACAGGATCTTCTCTAAAGGCTAGAAACTTGGCTGCCAAGGATCGAAATGGCATGTCAGACCCGGTAAGTTTGAGATGAGCGAAAAATCTGCAGGCATCCCAAGATCCAGTAGCTTCATGCTCCGTCCCATCATGTGTTGCTCATGCGTGATTGCTTTCCCAGTATCTCGTCCTCAGACTAGGTGATGCCCGCGCCGTTACGCACGCCGTGCCGAAAACGCTGAACCCGGAGTGGAACATCATCGAACAGCTGCCAATCAACGGCATAAACAGTCTCGTCCTCGACGTTATTTGCTGGGACAAGGATCGATTCGGTAAAGACTACCTCGGTGAATTCGACCTCGCCCTCGAAGAAATATTTCAAAACGAAAAGAATGCCCAAGAAGCCAAATGGTACCCTCTCCGCAGCAAGCGACCTGGCAAGAAGACCAGCATTGTGTCCGGCGAGGTCATGCTGCAATTCACCCTTCTCGACATCGCCAATCCCGCTTCCCCGCACCCGCAGACCATGGAAAGGCTCCAATCCCTCATCCGCTCTGTTCCTGTTGCTTCTACTGGTAGCGCTGGTGTGACGCCTGCCGCCGTGACACCCCAGCGAGCGGATCCTCTCGGCGAGTTCGTGGAAGACGATGACGAGGAAGGCTCCGATTTCGAAGAAGACAGCAACGATGAAGGAGAGGGAGAGGGTGAAGATGAGGGTGAAGATGCCTCCAAGCCCGAGACAGCCGAAAAACGTCGACGCCGACTCCGAATTCGAGGACTCAAGCGCAAAAATCGACGTAGCGCGTACGCCTTCACCAATGGCGACAGCGACGTTGTCGGCATCATTTACCTCGAGATTTGTCGTGTTACCGATCTTCCACCAGAGCATAACCTTACCCGTACCAGCTTTGATATGGATCCCTTCGTTGTCGCTTCCCTCGGCCGAAAGACATACAGAACTCGCCGCGTCCGACACAACCTCAATCCAGTATTCAACGAAAAAATGATCTTCCAGCTGCTTAACCATGAAAAGTCGTACAGCTTTTCATTCACCGTAATTGATCACGATAAGTACTCTGGCAACGATTTCATCGCATCTTGCACGCTTCCTGTCCAAGATTTGCTCAAGAAGGCGCCCCAGGCCGACCCAACCACCGGATTGTACGAAGTTCGCGAGCCTCAAGAGCCTCGAGAGGCCACTCCTCTGCCGCATAAGTCTCGTCTGCAGAGAATGGGTCTCTCGCGCAGTTCCTCGTCTCAAAGCCTCAACAAAAAATCCAACAAGGCCGCCTCAGTCACCAGTGCCCCGTCCCAAGCGCCGTCTTTGGAGGCCAGCCAGTCCACAAGCAACCCAAGTCTACTAGCCCCCCCAGAGACACAATTCACATCACTCACAGAGCTGGAGACCAATGGGGAGGATGACGACCCGGAGTTCCACGAATTCTCTGTGCCGCTGACGCTGAAGAACATTGAAAAATGGGAGGCCAAACATAGCCCAGTAGTGTATCTCAGGGCCAAGTATGTCCCGTATCCTGCGCTTCGTCAGCAGTTCTGGCGTGCCATGCTTCGACAGTACGATACCGACGAGAGTGGCCGCATCAGCCGTATTGAGCTTACGACTATGCTCGACACTCTGGGTTCGACACTCAAGGACTCAACCATCGACAGCTTCTTCCAGCGCTTCCCTCACAAGGCTGCCGATAATGAAGAGAGCTGGGATCTCACTTTCGACGAGGTTGTCATTTGCCTCGAGGATCAGCTCGAAGCCAAGTCTAGACCAGAGAGCAGCGTAGTGGATAAGGTTAAGTTTCTCACTGTTGGGGGCAACGCAGATCAAGGTGGCGCGAATTCGGGTTCGTCAACGCCCAGTGACGGCGGCCAAGACTTTACTGAAAAGGAAGACTCTGGCGACGAGCATGTTGTTGAGATTCGCGAGTGTCCCATTTGCCACCAACCCCGCCTCAACAAGCGCAACGATACCGATATTGTTACTCACATTGCAACCTGCGCAAGTCAAGACTGGCGACAGGTGAAGACTGTCCTCATGGGTGGCTTTGTTACAGCCAGTCAAGCCCAACGCAAGTGGTACTCCAAGGTTATCACCAAGATTTCGTATGGAGGATACAAGCTTGGTGCCAATTCGGCCAATATCCTTGTCCAAGATCGCCTCACGGGCCAGATCAACGAGGAGAAGATGAGTGTTTACGTCCGACTTGGCATCCGAATGTTGTACAAGGGGCTGAAGTCGCGCGATATGGAGAACAAGCAGAGTAGGTGAATTGATTGTAATGCAGAGGTCATTGCTAACAAGGACTAGTTCGTAAAATGTTGAAGAACTTGAGTATCAAGCAGGGTAAGAAGTTCGACGACCCGGCGTCCAAGGATGAAATCGAAAAGTTTATCCACTTCCATCGTCTGAACATGGACGAGGTCTTATTGCCGCTCGATCAGTTCCAAAACTTTAACGAGTTCTTCTACCGTGCACTGAAGCCGGGGGCACGTCCCTGCTCAGCACCAAACAACCCGGCCATCATCGTGTCGCCAGCAGATTGCCGCAGTGTAGTCTTCAACCACCTTACGCAAGCGACTAAGATTTGGGTCAAGGGTCGCGAGTTCAGTATGAAGAGGCTCTTGGGAGATGCATACCCGGACGACGTGGCCAGATTCGAAAATGGTGCATTGGGAATCTTCCGTCTCGCACCACAAGACTACCACCGCTTCCACATTCCCGTCGATGGTGTCATGGGTGAGCCCAAAACGATTGCCGGAGAGTATTACACTGTCAACCCTATGGCTATTCGATCAGCACTTGATGTCTATGGCGAGAACGTCCGTGTGGTGGTACCCATTGACAGCGAGGTGCATGGCCGTGTGATGGTCATTTGCGTTGGCGCGATGATGGTCGGCAGCACCGTCATTACGCGGACGGCGGGTGAAAGAGTCCAGCGCGCCGAGGAGCTGGGATACTTTAAGTTTGGAGGCAGCACGATCCTGCTGCTCTTTGAGCCCGGGAAGATGCGATTTGATTCCGACTTGACTGAGAATGCTAGCGGTGCACTTGAGACTTTGGTGAGACTCTCTAGATTCTATTTCATAAACATCAACTAACCTAAGACAGATTCGCGTTGGAATGTCTGTTGGTCATTCGCCTGACGAGCCGCAGTGGGCGGACGACATGCGCGTGAGCGAGGAGAACATTACCGAAGAACAGAAGAAGGATGCCAAGCGTCGCATCCAGGGTAGTATGGCCCAAGACTCGCCCAGCGATAGCAATGACGACGATGGGCTGCACAATCTGCCACCGACCATGAACACGATGGCAGCTTCCGCGTTGTAAGGGGCTACTTTGTAAACGATTTGTTTGTTTGTTTTCATACGGTTCTGCATTGGCATAAGCAATTCGAATTTCAACATGCGAAACGCATTTCTACGGGGAGAGAGAAAAGAGAAGCGCGAAAGAAAAAAGACGAAATCCTCAACGACCTGATGCGGTATATGCAGCGAGCGAGAGAGACAGTCTGGGAATGTCATGGCAACTGGGAAAACCTGAGGCAAGTAGCTACCTATAAACGGCTAGTTTTAGTTTCCTTGACAAGCATGAATCCAGTATGCATTGAAAAAATCTGTTGAATAGTGTAGCTGAATGGTAGCTGTATAAAAAGGGTAAAAGACGAAATTCGAAAACTAAAACAAAAAAAGTTGAAGGCGGCGAACGCTAAGCTGTGATGTATCCTCCCTCCCATTTGACAAATTGCCCTCCAAATCCCAAAATTGCCAAGCATGACCTTGATTTTGATGATTTTTTGCTGGTTGAAATTTCGACCGAGACGAATTACCGATCACTGGATGAGGACGATGGTCGGGTCCAGGCTGACGAGGATGACTCGCTGCTGATGGAGCTGAAGCTGGCCCTGGGTGAGGTAGAGGGAGAAGAGTTGTTGCTCTTGAGGGCCATCAAGTCAGGTGTGGCCGTGGTTGTGGTGGTCATGTCTCTGTTGTTGCCTCGACGAGTCTCGCGCCAGGACGAGTATACTTGTCTGCAAAAGTGCGCGGACATTGTGTATGTGGGAGACATTTTGGCTGTGTGTGTGTGTGTGTGTGTGTGT